CAATAAATATGTAGAAAGGGTGTGACATGAAAATGATTCTTGTAATGTGAGAGTAGGCATAGTTTTTATATTTTTAATTTTTGATGTGATTCTTTTAAATGTTAACAAGTGGACATCTATCTTGATTTTAATAGAGTATAAACAATCCAAGATAAGGATAAAACATTAAATTTTATAAGATATACTGTCCAATAATCTGCATGGGATTAAGACATTTAAAATCTTGGTATTTTTGAAACTGTGCCAGTAATTTTTAGTAATTCAAACACAAATTATTTATTGTATTTATCCAGACACTTGGCAAATCTCATCATTACATTTTATTCAGTTGATATGTGTTTATCTCATTTGTACATGTTTCGGGCATTTCTTGCCCCTCTTTAGCCAACTAAAATAAAAGTTCACAAGTTAAATTTGGATTTGTGTAAATATTATATATCTTAAATGTAGAAAAACCATAAATTCAATTATATTAAATTAATATTATAATTTTTATTACAGGTAGTAGTTTGCATAAGGATATGTATTTCTGTATATTAAACATTTTTGAAGCTGTTAAGGATTTGTGTATTGAAGCTAAAGCTCAGAGGTAATTGTGATTAATTACAAACATTTGTTAATGACTTATACTTTACTATTAAAGCTTACATTTTTTAATTGTAACTGAAGAACAAACATTTTAAAATTGAAATACAAACTTTTATTTCATTTAATGAGGGTCAGTTTCTTACAATTTTCCTTTTAGAACAGTAGAGTTTAATGAGTCTACTTATGATCTTTAGTTTCTATATAAAAACTCAATCTCAGAGAGATTAATAAATGATAAATTATTTGAATGAAAAAAGAAATGTAAAATTTTAACTGAAAACATAAGCTATGTTATAGATCTAAAGAATTTTGTTTAGATATCTTTTACAGTTTCTGGATTATATATTTAAATATTTTGAAAATTTAAAATAATAGTTTTTAATAATTTGATATATAATATTTTAATAAATTTCATTTAACAATAAATATGTAGAAAGGGTGTGACATGAAAATGATTCTTGTAATGTGAGAGTAGGCATAGTTTTTATATTTTTAATTTTTGATGTGATTCTTTTAAATGTTAACAAGTGGACATCTATCTTGATTTTAATAGAGTATAAACAATCCAAGATAAGGATAAAACATTAAATTTTATAAGATATACTGTCCAATAATCTGCATGGGATTAAGACATTTAAAATCTTGGTATTTTTGAAACTGTGCCAGTAATTTTTAGTAATTCAAACACAAATTATTTATTGTATTTATCCAGACACNACATTTCCTGTATATATGTCTAGGAAATGTGAACTAGAGATTTCCTAGACATATATACAGGAAATGTGAACTAGATATTGATGAAACACAGTTTGGATCGCAATGGGCTTGGTACACGAGAAGCACTTTTCTGCTTAAACGTATTAGTTCAAAGATGCAGAGATATGAATGCCAATGTTTATGCCTGCTTTAGACTATTGTAAAGCTTTTGACTGTGTAAATCACCAAAAGATGATTGACATCTTAACATCAGTTGGCATTGACAAAGGCAGTCTGCGTGTCATCAGTGAACTGTACTGGCATCAAATAGCAGAGGTCAGACTTGAAAAAGAAACCTCTGAAACCACGTTAATTAAGAGAGGAATATGTCAAGGCTGTGTGTTATCCCCTCCTCTTTAAATATATACTCAGAGGCCCTATTCAAGGAAGCGTTATAAGACACTAATTGTGGGATCAAGGTAAATGGCAAATTAATAAACAACATTAGATATGCAGATGACACAGTGGTTATAGCAAGTAGTCCTGAAGAATTATAACAACTGATGGACCGTATTGTCGAGTACAGTGAACTGCATGGTCTCTTTATGAATTTTACTAAAACCAAACTTCGTGTGTTCTCAAAAACAAGAACACAGTGCAAATCTTGTCATTCATAAGAACACTATAGAGCAAATATCATCTCTCAAATACCTCAGCACAATAATAAATGAACAATGTGATCAGCGTAAAGAAATAAGAGCAAGGATCAAACAAGCCAGAACATCATTTATGAATGTGAAAAAGATTTTTGTTAGATCCAAATTGAGTTTGTCTGAGGATTCGAATGTTAAGGTGCTACATCTTCTCTGTCCTGCTATATGGATGTGAAAGTTGGACTTTGGAGCCCCAACTGAGAAAAGAATTCAAGCTTTTGAAATGTATTTGTACAGATGGATACTTCGAATATCATGGGTGCAAAGGATTACTAATGTTGAAGTCCTGAACTGCATGAACAAGCAAAAAGAACTCCTGCTGACCTTGATCAAAATCAGGAAAACACAGTACCTAGGTCATATAATGAGAGGAGAGAAATATCAAATACTTAGACTTAATATTAGAGGGCAAAATACAAGGAAAAAGGTCTATTGGAAGACCAAAGAATCAATGGTTGAAAGACATCACAAGGTGGTTCAGGCATACGTCTATGGAGATATTCCAAGCTGCTATATCGAGGACAACGTTAGCTATATGGATTGCCAACCTTCAACAGGAGATGGTGCATTAAGATGATGATATGCACTTGTATTTGGAATTGAATTTTCACCTATGGTTGTTCTTTTATGAAAGCACATACAAATTATAGGGAGTTGAAGAGGGGTTGAGAATTTACATCAACCTGAAATGCATATGTAGAAGAGAAAATTGAATAGTAAATTGTGTGTTTAATCATTGGATACTTGTTTTCTGTAGGAAATACTATACCTAACATGTATGATTACAGACTTAAACTAATAAATATGTAGACAAATTTAGTATCCTGCTGAAAATGAATGTGGATAATTGTTTAAAAAGTTTTAATGATTTCATTTAGAGTATAAAAAGTTATACTGTATATGCCATTAAGCATATACCTTTATTGTTAATACAGGTATACACAACTCGATAACAGAGGTTCCATAAATTTATAATGGAGCTGAAAAATTCATAGCCATCTGTACCTCTTCTATATTTAGATACATAAATATTTATTATTATATTAAAATTTCTTACATATATGAGTAGTATACTATTAATAATATAAAAGCTGTCATGCATGTGCAATAAATATGTAGAAAGGGTGTGACATGAAAATGATTCTTGTAATGTGAGAGTAGGCATAGTTTTTATATTTTTAATTTTTGATGTGATTCTTTTAAATGTTAACAAGTGGACATCTATCTTGATTTTAATAGAGTATAAACAATCCAAGATAAGGATAAAACATTAAATTTTATAAGATATACTGTCCAATAATCTGCATGGGATTAAGACATTTAAAATCTTGGTATTTTTGAAACTGTGCCAGTAATTTTTAGTAATTCAAACACAAATTATTTATTGTATTTATCCAGACACTTGGCAAATCTCATCATTACATTTTATTCAGTTGATATGTGTTTATCTCATTTGTACATGTTTCGGGCATTTCTTGCCCCTCTTCAGCCAACTAAAATAAAAGTTCACAAGTTATAATGGTATAAACAAACATATAAGGTCATGTTTTTTAAAAAAACATACCTTTTAGATTACAGATTATTGAAAGGTAAAACCATAAAATTCCTTTGTTCATTTTACTTGTCATCCATTAAATTTCAAATTTTTGTATGGTTTGAACCTTTAAAACACTCAACTTCTTATTATCTAAAGAATTTTTTTATATTTAACTTCATGTTACCTAAAGATTTTACATTAATTATCTTGTATACATGTGTTCTGATAACAATACTACAAATTACATACCTAGTTATTCATTTTGAATTGTTATAAAATTTAAATAATTTTAAAATTTTTCTCATACATTTACTATCATGTTTAAATCAATTTAACAACAATACTAAAATTTACATACTCGTCTTTCATCAAAATTGAAGTAGTCCTTCCATACAAACATATTTTGTTGACCTTTCCTCCCCCTTTTTCCCCCCCAGTTGAGCTTGCCCACTGTCTACTACACAGTCACATGACAAGTAGGCCACCTTGTGGCAACATTTTTAAAATACTTTTTTACATAAAAATATTTTTTTAAAAGATTTTTTAATTTTATAGGATATTGAGCCAGTTTTTGTTTATTTTAATACTTAGATTTTTATTTATACATTTATTACTTTTGATAATTTCTATGCTTTCTTTGAACTTTCTATGATATGTTTCTTTTTCTTTGTGGAGTATTTGTATGTTATCTTTATCAATTTTACAATCGTTCAGGGTGCATTGATCATGAAAGGCNTACCTGTGTATATATCTGTATATATATAGATATATATATCTGTATATATATCTGTATATATATAGATATATATATATATATCTAGGGAAAGTGTAAGAGTTAAATTGGTCAATTCTACACTGCTTTATTCCATTCAAAAAACCAAAACAATATTAATGTGTATTACTAAAGGAAGACAGCAAGGAAATCTTTTAAAAGACAATAGTGTTTATTCAGAATGTAGTGTATAAAGAAATTTTAAAAAGAAAGATTTCATTATTATTTTAATATAAAGGCTAATATATCTGTTTATATGTGTGTGTAAGTGAATTCTCTATAACTCCTACATTTTTGTCTACTCCATGTGAAATTTTGTTTTGTTGCTCTATGTTACAACAGATAGTATAAACTACTTAATTTGTAAAAATATTATCATCTCTTGAATTTCTTGAAATCTCAACTCTTCTCAATTTTTCAATCTCTACTTTCTCACAAAAAGTATTCTGTCATGCTTGATGGGAGATTTCTAGTATAAGTTTAAGTACACACAATGTTTGATTAATGGCATATTTCTCAGAATGTATCTCTTAAGCAGCACATATCTTGAATAAATTAACTACAAAAACATTCATCATTGTATTTATGAGATGGATCATTAAGGTTATAAGATATGTACTTCATAACCAATATCTTTAATTTATACACCGAAGAGCCATTACATTTTGACCACCTCTCACCTAAAGGAGTAAGCTTGCCTGGAGACAAAACAGTGGCGCTTGCGTGGCTCACACTGCTGTACATAAACAGCCAGTGAACTGTTTTCAAATGTAGAATTTTCGGCTGCATCATGGAAAAAGCAGCAGATTTATCAGACTTTGATAAAGGACAAATCATTATGGCTAAGTGCCTGGGAATATGGATCTCAGAAATGGTGCAATTGATAAACTGTTCAAGTGCAGTCATTAGTAGTACTTATTGAAAGTAGTGTACAAATAGAGAAACAAGAAGCTGATGGCTAGCTGTATGTCATCCATAGCGCATTGATTCCAGAGAGGAGTGGAGACTATTACACATTGTTCGCCATGATTGAAAGGCTACAGTGGCCCAAATCACCATCAGCTACAACCATGGTGATCAAGACAATGTGTCTCAGCACACAGTGCAGCATACCCTTCTGCGCATGAGCCTGTGTAGCCACTGGCCCAGTCAAGTCCCTGCGCTTACAGCATGTCATTGACAACAGCACCAAGGAGCATCGCAATTGGACCTTAGAGGAATGGAAGAAAGTCATCTGGTCCAACGAGTCACAATTCTCTGGACAATCACGTTGATGGTCGAGTGCGGATACGCCAATTTCCGAAGGAGATCATCGCAGCCAGATGCACAGTTGGACAGATATAAGCCGTGAAGGTGGTATTATGGTGTGGGCTATGTTTTCATGGAACAAAATAGAACCCACCATCCCCAAAAAACAATCCCTGACGGCTATGCACTATGTGAACATCATTGCAGATCAGGTTCACCCCTTCATGGCAACAATATTCCTGGCAGGTGATGGCCTGTATCAACAAGATAATGCATCATGCCATAAGGCCTAAATTGTCATGAAGTGGTTCGAGGAACATTCTAGTGAATTTCAAGTCTTTTCTTGGCCTTTGAATTCACCTGATATCAATCCAATTGAACATTTGTGATTCCATTTGGAAAACCAAATTTATGCTGCCACATGATCACCTCCCGATGTTTGGGGACTGGAGGACCAGCTGGTGAGGCATCTGGTACCAGGTGAGCACCTGGTACCAGATGCCTCAGACTATCTACCAGCACCTTGTCCAGTCAATGCCTCGCTACTTTTGCCCACAGTTTTGTGGGCAAAAGGTGGTCCTACGTGGTATTAAACAGGTGGTCATAATGTAATGGCTCTTCGGTGTATTGGCCAACTGTATAATGTATATTCAAATATCAATCAATATACTATCAAAAATATTCAGACATTTGTATAATATAAAAAAAAGGTTAAAAAGTAAATAGAATAAATTATAATTTAATGTTAACTGATTTCTTTATTGTAGAATTATACACATTTTCTTTCTATTTTAAAACTAAAAAAATGATATTCTGTTATAATTCAGATCTACAGGTCAATTAAAGTCAGTAGGTACAGTTTGGGAGAAGTGTAACATATTACAAAGCCTTCCAAAAGGTAACTTATTCATTCATTCATTATAACATAAATTAAAATTATTATTCTGGTGAAAAAATTATATAAAATTTATAAAAATTGTTAGTTTGTAAGTTTAATTTATTTACAAGCTCTTACAAATAATAATAAATTTATTTATTAATTTAGACAATAAAGATATTGTTTTGGTGATATTTCGTGATCAACTTAACATAGTTCAGGATGCTTTAGAGGAATTACAACAGGTGATTTTATGAATTATTTTTATATCTTAATTTCTATATTTTTGCTATATTTAAATCTTTGATTTTAATAAATTTGTTAATTTTAGATATACAATTTGTAAGAAATTGGCATTTCATGTAATTTTTAATAGAAATTCTCTGAAAATTTATATATGTATAAATTATATATATGTATATCATAATTTGTGCATGCAGGTGTGTGTCTATATATGCTATATTTCCTTGATTAAAACCTAAGAAGATACATTTTATTTTTAAAACACATCACCAGGGTTTATTAACTTACACAAGAGACAAATGGGTAAAAGTTGAAAGAAATACATTAATTGCTTGTATGTTTTCAGAATTATCATGATCAGTTATATATATATATAAACATCACAAAGCCTGAGGAATTAAGAATAAACCAAATGATTGCTGTAATTAATCAAGCTACTTTTTGCTACTATTAGACTATTCTAAATATTAAATTATTATAAATGAACCTTTTCGATTTTGAAGAGACGGCACCTAATGTCTACCTTTAATACCAACTTGTTAACAGTGGTGAAAAATAGCTCAATTAATTACACCAATTGTTTGGTTTATGACCATTTATTGGCTGTATTTACAGGTTATAGCTATAACATTTGAAATAATTACTGTTTTTCTTAATTAACTCTACTCAGTGCCTTCTGATTCAATTTTTATGTTGTCACTTGTGTCTGTTTTGATGATAATATCAGAATGAGGATCTCGACTATTTTTGGTTCAACTGATGTGACGCCATCTCTTTCTAATTTGGGTTTTGCTGATAACCTTTGACTTAAGAACTTGATTGCGACTTTCATACACTCAATATTCAACAATACTTAAAATTTTATTCCCAAAAGTGTTTCCATGAATCTTGTCTCCAGTTGTGATGGATACAGAATATCTTCAGGACTCAAAATTTTTCCAGACATAAATTTTACATCTAAAATTTCCCTGAAAATTGTTGCATACTAGCGCACAAAATAAAACAACATTTTATGAATGATAATGATTATAATTAAATCATACAATTTAGTAGTAAATTGTTAGTTTGAAACATTAAATAGGCCTACCATATAATTTGATGCTTCTATCTTTAATTTTAAAATATAATTATATGCAAAAGTGTACACAAATAAATATTTGGTTACAAAAAATTATTCCGTGACTACCTATTTGTTACTCGATTACCAGTAAATTTTTACCAGTAATGCAATAATTCATGTACCACTGCATTTATCTAGGAAAGAGTAGTAAGTATGGAGAGATTAGTAACTAGGAGAAAGTATGCTATAAGATAATATGGTTGCTTTAAATTATACCATTGTTCCATAGGAAATTATCCTTTTGCTAAGATATAGTAATTACTTATATCATTGTCATTACATTTGCACTAATAAAGTTTCATTCCATTCTTTTCATCAATGAGTATACATCATTCACAAAACTTGTAAAGTTATAATCATCAAAGTGTTCTTAGTGTAGATTTAATATTTTTAACACTAATTTTAAAATATTTTTTTATATAAAAATCTAAGAATTAAAACTAACTTTTATGCAGTGTTTTAATTAATATTCTAGTATTTTAGAATAGTAAATTTTGTAATGTAAATTGATATGTGCTTGAAAAACTTAAAACTACCTTTTTCTTATTGGTATTACATAAAAATTCTGAATTTCTGTTTGATATGTGCCTTGGCCAAACAAAACAATGATTTACATGAAATTAATTGATCTTTTATTAGATTTCATCGATATTTCCAAAAAATGAGAGAGGAAGTTATTTCTTGGAAATTTTGATGTTATCATAAATAAAACATGTAAATTCACTAGTAACTGTTGATTTGAATCAGGGATGTAAATAGCAAAATATGATCTACTTGATGTAAATTACAGTCTAATAGTCACAATTTTCTAATTTTTAGATTCTAAATACTATTCTCTTAGATAATTTGGCTTTATAATTTAGATAACTAAAAAGTTTTTTATGATATTCAGAACATGGGAAAAGAGTATTTAAATTAGTTAAGTAATGTTATTTTTCTAGAATATCGAGAATGAAAACGAAAGTAATTTAGAAGATCTGAATCCCTTTAATGGTTTCCGTCTTCAACCGTCATCATGGACGGAAGAGAATCGTCTGGTGCTAGCTCCTAGTTCGGGTCTAATCAAGACTGCCAGAGTCTGCATTAAGAAAATAAATAAGGCAATCAGTAGCAGAGGCAGTAGTGATTCTGAAAATTTAATAACCGAATTAGATCATATGGCTGACTTGGTTAAATCCATCAGTATATTAGTAGATGATTTTGTTCTCTCTCTATATCCTCCAATGAATTATGCAGCAGTTCAGCAACATGTCAGTACTATTCTTATATCTACTAAAAGATTTTATAAAAATTTAAAAATTATTAATTTTATAGGCAGAGGCTTTGAAAGATCATTTATTGAAATTACTTGACAAAACAGGGTGAGTTATATTTCAATATTTTAAAATTTTCATGATGTATTTAAGAGTTAATGAATAGTTTTCATATATTTTCCTGTAATTTATTGGCTAAAAGACAATAGTTAGAATTTACATTCAAAAGAATGGCAGAATGTCATAGAAATATAAGATATTTAATTATTAAGCAGGATTCATTAGCATAATACCTTAACCCATCCTCGATCTTGAAAGTTTAATGATTCATTTATTTCAGCTCTTAATATTTGAGAAATTGAGATGATCTTTTTTATTTTTGTAATACAAGAGACATGATGATGATTTTATATGGATAAAACTTTTTTTAGTAATTCCCTTTGGTTCAATACACTTATTCATTCTTTCAAAAAATTGCAGGCAGCTCCTGAAAAATGTGATTGAACTCTTGACAGATTCATTTTCATTCTCATTCTCAAAAGTCTTCCCACAAATTGTTTTTTAATCATAGGCAAAAGAAACTAAGTCACATAAAGCCAAATCCAGGTGAACCCAAACTTATGTGCATCTAAAGAATTGGCTATGAGAAGATTTCTTTCACAATGACAATACATTGGTCAGACAGCTGCATGTTTGTTTTAGAAAACTTATCATCACAGTACCACTTAGGGCACATTTGGAAATTGTAACTGGTGTTACTGGTAACTGCCAGTAGTTACCAAGGTATTTTGAAAATATGACCTAAATAACCAACAATGTTTAAAAATTACTGTTATGAGCCATAAAAGTAATTACTGGCTCACTATGACAAAAGAAAACAATGATAATTTTTTATGTTGTTTTTGAAACTGTGTTTTACGAATATATTGGACTTCGAACTCACATTTGAGTTATAAATAAACACTTGGTTTTATTTCCATCATTTTAGTTGATCAACTAAAATGATGGAAATAAAGCCAAGTGTTTATTTATAACTCAAATGTGAGTTCGAAGTCCAGTGATAATTTTCTTTATGTTCTGCCCTCGTGCAACATTGGTTGCAAGTTGCCCTCTTCAAACACCCATACCTTATGATCCACTTATCAAACAGTGTATCCAAGTTTTGAATCCTGTTATTAGAATACTAGCAAATAAGCCCAGCGTTGCTTGGGCAAAAAGTTATGATAGTGAAGATTAAGATAATTACATTATAGCCAATCTTACTCATTTTCACAGAATGCAAGAATTAGGTCCCCCATTTCCAGACTAATTAGAGAATTTTTAGATGGGTCTAAAAATATGTTCGATTTCCCGCAAAAACTCAAAAAACTGCATCTGCACCTGTAAATTTTGCATGCTGCATTCTCTTAATACTTCCACTGTTAAGGAATACACTTCTTTCATCCTCTGTGGTACCTACTAAAATGCAGTCAAAAACGCAAAATACTGCATCTAAAATAGTACAGTAAAATAGAAGCCAAGTTCTTCAGGATAAGCCTTAATCCTCTCCACCTCCTCCATGGGGAGAATTTCGAAAAATCCCTTCTTAGTGTGCATTCTCATGACATACCCTAACTGTGTACCAAATTTCAACTTTTAACTCCTAACCGTTTGGTCTCTGCGCTTATTATCATCATCAACCCATCTTGATTATATATATAGACTAGCAGACCACGCCACGCATTGTTGTGGCTCTAAATATATAACACTTCCCCAGTGGGGGGAAATGTTTTGAAAAATTTCTTCTTAGTGTACGTTCTCTTCATGTACCCTATTAAAACGCAATCAAAAATGCAAAAACCCGCATCTAAAATAGTAATAGAAGCCAAGTTCTTCACGGTAAGTCTTAATCCTGTCCCTTTCCCCCGCAGGGGGAATATCAAAAAATCCCTTCTTAGTGTACATTCTGTTGACGTACACTATTAAAATGCAATCAAAAACACAGGTTTTTTTAAACAGGTTAGTTAACCGTTGTATAACTATTGTAGTAATTTACCGATGTAATAATTAAATTTACCAAATTTATAGAAATGCAAAAATCCTGAAGAGGGATGCAAATTAAAGAAAATATTGCACCCGAAATGCATAGAAAATAAAGAATATGAATAAAAGCTTTGTCTCTGATTAAATGCGGTCCAGGCACAAAAACGGGGGTTATTTAGGTACAATTAACCCATAAAGTTTTTCCATCAATTTTGAGGAAATATTTTTGAAAAATTGATATTTTTAAAACTAATATAAAGTAAACCACACCATGGATATATACATATCTATTACTTATAGAAGCAGAGTTCTTTACAGTAAGCCTTAATCCTAACCATCTCCCTTCAGTGGGGGGGAATTTCGACATGTATATTATATAAACACACGTGCATATTCGAATGCGGCAGTGTGTCAAAATTTCAAAGGAATTGGTAGGAACAAACGAACATTACATTTTTATTTAGATAGATAGATAGATAGATAGATAGATAGATAGAAGATGATCTGCTTTAATTCATTTTCACAGAAAAGCAAACTTAGGTAGTGCCATCTGTTGGACATAAAAGCCTTAACCTAGTTTATATCTTTTAATTTATATGAATGTTTAACGGAATAATATACAGCCTATGTCCACCTGAAGCTCCATTCTAAATATTGGTGAAAGAATTTTTGAAATCAGATGAGTAGTTTCAGAGATTACCCGCTACATCCAAACTTACTTACAGTAGAGTGTCGTTTATCCGAAGGAATTCCAGTCGACAAATTTAAATTTTCGCCAGTGCTGTGATGCTGTAATCTTGGGCTACTCAAATATTTTACGTTTTTGATACTAAATTAACTTCTGAAGTATAATTTTTTATTGTTTTTATATTTTTCAATATATTTATTTTGTTTGTACAAAATTAAAAAATAATTTTTAACGATACAATAGTCTTCGTTAGGCTTAACATCAACGAAAATTCAACGCGAAGCAACACGCAACGGAGAAAAATTTCAACACGGGATAAATTAATATATTTTTTCGTACGTAATTGGTTATCCGAACAACCCCAGTCCCCAATTGATTCAGATAAACGACGCTCTACTGTACTTACAAACATCTCTTTATAAATGTGGAGATGTCCTACCATTTTTGTGTCCATGATCTAGTGGATTATATTCTGTTGTTTGATTAGTCTTTAACCTGGCGTTGAAGTGAAGACACCCCAAAAGCTACATTTAATGATTTTAATTAAATGAAGTCTATATCAACATGAAATGTTGATTTATAACTGATATATGGTAAATTTGAATTTATTATTGCATGTGAGATCATCAGAAAGAACTGAATATACATGGATATATACAGAAAATTATTATTCTGTAAAGCACTATAATTCTTTATAGATTAGCTACATTTAAAGAAATCACTTTTAGAATGATATGCTGCAGTTCTTGGCAGGCTTGTGCACCCATCTTGCATATACTTTTTTGAACTGCAGTTTGTGATAGTGATGCCAGCCCAGGGCAAGGAGAATCCTGTACACTGTGACACATTTCATGAACTTCTCAGGCTGTTCATACAACTTGCACACTTGTCATCAAATCTCTATCAAATTTAGGTTATAATTTGCTTTGCTCTGGGCAAAAACTGTTACTGACTTAATAGCCAAATATTGTAAAACATTAGGCTATGAAGTCAGTAACAATTGGTAAAATCAATTATCCAAATATTTGTGTAAGTTTATTGAAGAGTATCTAATTTTAATTATTGCTGCATAATGTTTGTGATCTGATGACTATAAACTCAAATCTTTATTAAAAACCACTTTAGTGTGATAAATCTGTGTTGTAGATGTATTGATCTAAGTTGTTTGCTTTGTATATACAGGGGTTCATTTTGAGGTAGCGCTCTCTCGTCTATACTAGTCTGGTGATAGTTAAACCTATAGCAAAATGCTGTAATTATTGCACCAAACTCTGCATTCAGAAATAATTATATATAATTTTAACTTAATTAGTCTCTTTGTTTGAGTTTGCACATTTATACTTAAAACAAAAAATACCAAATGAAATGGAGACTAGAACAGTTCACAAGATACCTCAAATAATAAAATAATACAATGTATATTTTTTATACACCTTTTCTATATTCTGTATTTAATTAATTATTTATAAAGCAGCTTGCAACAGCAAGTGATCAAGAAATTGTTGATGTTCAATTTTAGATCATTTGTTTCTTGCTCTAATTTGAGTACTCTTATTAAATATGTATAAAACATGCCAAGTAAATATAATAAGAATCCTGTGCTTTTAACTACAACTGAAGTATACAAGGTGATCCAAAAATCACTTTGTGTACTTATTAGTTCTAATTAGAGATTTGTGTATTTTCATTAAATTATCTGAAATGGAATTCTGTCAAAACATTTATTATTTTTTTAGCTGTCGTTTACATGCTTAACTTACTGTTTTTGAAAATATATAAAACAGTGCTTAATTTCATTACACAAAAGCTTCTCAATTGAACTCTTCCTTTAAAAAAAATCCCTTCTTTCTTGCAGTCAATGTCACTTTTGCCAAGACGACGATGTACAGTGGATAGACTTTCTAAAGAATGCCGTAAACCATAATTATGGTAAAATCAACGATCTCACCAACAGTTAATAAATAAATAAACTTGCTGTGTTATATAAAATTTTATTTGACAATTATAAATACTTGTTGATAATAAAACAATTTTTAATAAAATATGAATGAGTTTTGTTCTCTTATAAACTTTGAGCTTTACATTTAGCATTTCTTTCAGATTATTACTCCTCAGTATGCCTTTTATCCTATCAATGAAGCTTTTATATTATTTTACAATAAAATTCTATGTAATGAATCAAAATGATAGACATTTGCCCATTGCTATAGGATCAGCAATACTCAAAAGAAAAAGTATCTCATCTCTCTCTGCCCTGCAAGCACTGAGAAAGTAAAACATGTCTGATCAACTCTTATAGTTTAAGATTGTGTGATATGCAAATTAAAGAACATAACTGCTATAAATGTTGTCAAGCTGCAATAGATTTAAAAAATTACTTATTTTCTGTTACTTGTATATACATATAAAATCAGTGCAAACTGAGGGTATCATAAGTATTTTAGTTGGATGTTAAAAAAAGAAGTGTTTGAGCAGAGTTTTCTCACATTTTTTACTCCATAAAGATTAGACTTGAAGATAATGTTCCATTTGAAAGTTTTTTTTATGGTTATGAATGCATGAATAAAACCTGAGATATACACGTGAATGTAAAAATTCCTCTAGGCAACATATTTACATTATGCACGTTGATGAAATGAAATGAAAGAAGAATGTAATCACTGCATTAAGTTGCCTATCCTGAGGGTAAACGTCAATAGTCCAACCATCAGCAAAACACAGAGTCTGAGGACTGATCCACCACCCGTATACTTCTCATCGCCCTCAAGTTTTGAGTAGTCTTTCTTTTCCTCTTTCTTGCATCCCTCTCTGCAGTCGTCTCTGTCACATATGTCACACAAGGTGGCCTTATGAGGATGATAAAACATTCTTGCACACTTCACTAGAAAATTTATACACAAATAATAAAAAAATTAATAATGTAATTAAATAGTAGTTAATGAAAATGTATTACTTCCATATCTGAAGTTGATAATGGCTATTAATTGTTTTCTTACATTCTTACATACTAATATTTTTTATTCAATGCACATCATTAATTCCTTAAATGATTTCTATATTGTAGTGAAGCTATTAAATCAAAAATGTGGGATTTTCTATATATACTTATACAATCAAAAAAAATTACAAGAGAGATTTATAAACTGATGTAAAAATACAGGTAACAATTTACAGGAATATAAATTATCATTATCTTACCTAAATTATAATAATCATAGATTTTTACAGGTACAGGTCTCTGGTGGGCAACCTTGTGCGTTCTGTGTGCAGGAACGGTGACGCAGGCTTCTTCTCTAGTCAGCTGAAAAATGTATATTGTCACCACTTACACACTATAACAAATACTTTTTAGTGCCAATTACACATGCTCCTCATATTTATTAAACTATAAAAGCTTTAGTTGACAAAGAAACAAGAGACTATTGCTTTTGTGGATACGGCAGTCTCCTTATCCACGGGATACGTCCCAAGACTCCTAGTGGATAGTACTGAACAAAACACACTATTTTATTTTACATACTTAGAGAGAAAAACAAACAATTATAACAATATATCTTAATAAGTTACATGAATACATGGCCTTGTGTGCCAAGTTTTTCTTTCCTTATTAGGTCAAATATTTTAATTTAAAGAAAGCACTTTGGGGGTTATTATTATTATGGCATAAAGTGTAAGATTAAAGTAAAATAAAAGTTACTTGAACACAAGCACTTCAATCCGATAACCAAGTCAGCTACTAAGTGACCAATGGGTGGTTGGCTTACACGATATATCACGGTAGATAAAGTACTACTACTGTACAGTAAATTTTTAAAAAATGTAACAAAACCATTATTTGTATTTCCTGATAAGAAATTAACAATAAAACCTATTTAACATTTTTATTGATAGCATACAGTATATTGTGGAAATTTTTGCCTTTTTGTTCTTTTTAGAAAATATTTACACTTGTATTACTAAAGATAAGATAATTCATTTACCTCTCTCTTGGAGGAAAAGAAAAGCAGTTTTTCTTCATTTCCAGCAAAAAGTTTCTGAAAACTAAAGCATTTGTTGGCTATGCATGTCATTGGGAATTAACTCCCAAGAACAGTAATGTGCCCATTCTCTACATAGTTTCCATTGAATTCCAAGAAAAGCAGTTTGAGTCAGATATATTATGAAGAAATCTCAAATATAAAATTGTTTGAAAAACAAAATTTTAAAGACCATAACATTGAGTCTATGTCACACATTGGTTTTAAACAAATGATTTGAGAGACTGAAATGATACATAAATAAATGTACACTATGTAGAAGTTAAAGTTCTGTATTAACAGAAGAAGTATGCATAGTTTTATAACAGATCTAAATAATGATGGATTATACCGTCAAAAATTATGTTTTTTGGACGTTTAATTTGATATCCAAAACCAACAATATATTGTGATAGGTGTGGTAGAATTTTAGTAGCATTTTTTGCAGCTAACATTGCAATTACACACTATAGTAGAAAAATGTTTTTGATGCTCCTTAAATGCCATCTTATTTTGTTCCTGCAATGCTGTTATTGTAAATTAATACTTGAAAAACTCTATGAAGCTTTTGAAATATGACCAGTATTCTAGTCTAAGAAAGGAATATTTGTCTAATCTTACTTTGCAGATTAGGGCAATTTTACATTGCCCTAATCTGCAAAGTAAGATTTGGGTAGTGACTGTTTAATTGAACATTACCTGAGATGGTCTAAATAAAAATGTGCATCCTACATTCTTAAGATTTCAGGTATTCATTGAAAAAAGACTGAGTGAATTCTTGCTTGAGACATGATGAAAATGAAGAAAATCTAGCATTCATCAAAAGCAAACCTATGCTATATTGCACAACTGGAGTGGCTTAATTTTGCAGCATGGCATGGGTTTTGTCCTTGGCATATTGTAATTTTGCAGTATGGCATGGTTATGGCATATTGTAGATTTATCAAATCAAAATGGAATTTAAAAAATTACTTTATAACTTACTCTATCAAAATAAATAACCACGTTTGTGTTTCCTTGATTCGCTTCGACTTTCTTTACCCTGGGTATTTGCAATATGCTCGGTAGTGCGTCGGTGTCGGCCTCGTAGCCTGATGGCAACCCTACCTCCATCACGGCCATGTTGCTGACTCCTACCTTGTAACTACAATCCAAAACAAATACAATTAATGGTAAAATATTTTTAATAATAATACAGTAAGATTCTACTTAAAGCAGATTCAATATTTGAAAAAAAACTCAAAATTTACGCTGATTTAAATTATTGTGGCATTTCATTGATTCCTATATAATACAATTATTTACGAACATGAAACAGTCAGAAAAAGGTGGCAAAAAGGCGTATTTTTTTAAATCTATATTTGTTTGGTGCAATTTTGAAAAAAAAAAATATATCATCATGGATGCCATAGGCAATATCAGCTTTGCTTGGCAAGAATTAACTGATAAATGCATGAACGAAGTGTGGAGGAAGTTATGGCTGAAGGTATCCAAGAATTCTCAATGAGAAGAGCCTATCGCTATATGGTTAGGTTGACCAAACTCCACCTAATCAATACAGCGGATGATGTAGACGAGCAGGATATTGAGGAATTATAACAGGTTTCTGGTGAGAGCCTTACCAATGATGACCTTCAAGAACTGGCAGAATGAGGAATTCAAGTAGAACTGGAAAATAGAGATTCTGAAAACAAAGAACCCAAAAAGTTTCTCTACAGATTTCCTTAATAAAAGTTTGGTAACGATAACTGAAATCGTTGATCAAATTGTAGCAAATGATCCAGATTTTGAAAGGAGTGCAAAAGCAAAATGAGTCATTTGGATGTGATCTGCTACTGACATTTGCTTAAGGAAAGAAAAAAGTGACAAATGAAACTACAGGACTTTATTGCAAAAAAGAAAATTTCGGAAAATCCAGGACTTTCCTCACAAAAAATGAACTTTGCATTTCTGTGTGCATATGTTTGTGTTATTTAACATATTTTTATATTGATTTGTATAATAATATAACTTAAAATTGAAGTAAAATTTGCTTATTTTCGGTCGCGTGTTCTCCTATCCCTATTTACTCTATGTTAAAAAGACCTTGTTTCACACTGTTTCATTTAGCACTTTGTTGTCTAGGAATGCATTCCCCATATTAAGCGGGGTCTTACTGTAATTTCTGTTCAATGGCCAAACCTTCACTGACCAATCATTTATGATTGTCTCATATATCCACTTTGAACAGTCTGTATCACTCTAAAGTGCAGGAACAGAGTTATTTACAAAAGGGAAAACATTAATATAACTAACTTTTCACAAGCAGACAACATAGGACAATGATGTAGATGAAACACAAAATCAAATCTCATCTAGCTTTTCATGAAAAAATGATAAAAGAAAAAAACATTACAGATTAAGTTGCAATTTATCAGAGAAGAAACAGAATGAGATAATATTTTGCTGTTCTGGTCACTTTCTCCTATCTAGTTTGTTGAATTGGGCCAACAATATCATGATGATGGAAAGAAGTCTCCATCCACTCTATACAAAGTGTGTGATTTCACAGGAAAATGAATGAGGAGCTTTTTCTCATTTCCTTCTGCTTCCCTTTTTATTCAAACAAAGAGAGCATTCTCCTTCTGTCCAATTCTGGTTTAGAGCATTCTCCTTTGGGCCAATCATCAAACTATTAATTTTATGAAACAGGTGACTATGCCACTTCTTTTGATGCACACATGGAACCATGTAAGGTACAACTATCTATGGAGTTGACCTTCCCTCTCCCTCATTTCCATCATCTTTTCCCAAATTTGATGTTTATGTAAACATACCACCTGAGTTTTTGGCATTGTTCCATTCTTCCTCATCTCTCTGACACATCCTGAGACAAATTAAATCTTTTTAACATAAATCTTATCTTCTTATATTCCATAATTAACTTATTTATAGATAGGCTAGGTTCATTCATGTTTCATGTTTTTACGTAGACAAATCATACATTGATGTATGGTGATTGTATATCACAACCACCCCAGAGTATAATTCATAGAAATTGAAAATTAAATGTCTTCTCACTCCAGGATAAATGACAAAAGTGAGAAAATAATGCAATTCAATAGTGTCAAGTTATCCCCTAAGTAGTATCAAGACAAATATACCATCAAAACAGTGTGTCTGTCTGTATGCTAAGAAGGTAAACTAGACTTCAGTTTAAAATTATTTGATGAAAGTTACAGAGCAGATATGTATACAACAAAGAAAATACATTTGAATGTCTATACTCTTTTTTTTCCTTTTCTTTGCAAAAGATATACGAACAATTATATTACTCCTTTTTGTTCTGTTTTAATATACATGTTACTGTGAATGACCGATATCTGACAAATGCTGAAATTCTCCAGTGAATGTCAGCATTCACACAGTCGTTTTGGGTATGTACGAAATACTTGCTAAATATCATTATTTCTCACTTACACTGGCAAATGTTGACATTCGGCATGCACTGATGATGAACGTTAAATAAAAATATTTTTATTACACTAAGACAAAAATGCAACTTTTTAATATGTCAAAATAGGAGAAAGCTTAAGTAACAACACATGTAAATAAACTGTTGAACCTAAAACAAGCAGTACATTCTTAATCAGAAAAGAAAAATAATACACAATAGTAAACTTACACATATATTATGTGATTAATGTTATACCATCTTATTTATTGCAACAACTTAAACTGTTGTGGCACTTTGTATTTCACAAGAGTCCTTTGCTTTTGCAACTGCATTTATTCGTGGAGCACTTTTTTTTTTGCAATGATAGCATGTATAGCCTTGCCCTCCACTTTCTGAATTAGCTGCAGCTGCTTCTCTCAGCAATATTTCTTGAGAAGAAATCTCATCTATAGAAAGTAACTTTTCTTTACAAATTACAAACTGATTGCGTTATTATGTGATTATGAACTGATCTGTTAATAGTATCTTTTATTCAGATATCACCGATGCCTTAACGTCGCCTCCTCTTATCCTTTGCCACTTGATCTGACAAACTGATCCCCACTTCAAGGGATAAAAAAAACCTTGTCCTGCCTCCAGCTAGCCACAAAGGATTTGTCGACAGACTGTTGCCTCTCTGTCGACATCGGCTTCTTGGTTGTTGTTTCAACCTCCATCAAAGCTTATCTGTGCTTGTCGACATACACTGGCAATTGTTCGAATGTATAATAATATAACCAAATATTCTATCTTTCACCGACATATTTTGTATGTGTCGACATTCTCTAATTTCGGTCTTTCACAGTAACATACATAAACAATCAAAAAGGCAACATTTATATACAATGAAGGAGCAATGTGTGCTGCTTGTCAGCTGGCTAGCCTCTTGTTTGATGAAAGGCTACCTACTGCTGGCTAGAGATCAGTTAACTTAAAAAATACAATTGCTAACCTTCAATTTCTTAAGAATCACATAAATATATTAAATCAAGACTTAAAAAATAGAAATAAATTTTTTTAAATTATCATAACCAAAGTTTTGAGAGAAGTTAATGAAAGTATAACAGAGGGATTACAACTTGTCATCCCTTCAGATCAAACATCAATATATCAAACTAGCTTTATTGAATTACCATATTTTCATACATATAATCAGCAAGTTAACCATTTAAAAGAAAATTTGAAAAGGGAAATGGATTACATGTTGATTTTGAATTACAATTACAAACCCATACATATAGAACAGCTGTTGCTCCATAGGCACAAGGCACAGTATATGGTGGGGAGGATTATGCAAAGGTTTTATTTTTTCTAGAAATTTTGTGTGGTATAAGGCCATGGATTATATNTAGGATCTGTTCTTATTATTATAACTACTATAATAAAAACATACTTATTCGTGCCTCTAACCAGTGCGTATAAATACAAAAATAAACAACTTTGTAAAATCAAACATTTTCCGAACACCTTCCATGTCCTTCAGATAAAACGGCTGGATTCCTTTTTCTAAAACACTGTCACATTAAATATTTAAATTACTAAGATACATTGAAATAATATATAACCATATCAATCAAGACACACATTATACCACATGATTTCAAAATTCTTAAAAAAAGAAAAAAAATGAGAATAGTAATTTCTGTATATTCATATTTATGTGACATAGAAAATAAACACTATTAAAATTGAATTTTTTTCGTTAGTGTTAAGGTATAGGAATGAAATTGAATTTTCTCTTGAAAATATGCAATTAAACAAACAATAATAATGGAATAATACAAATCTGCAATTTCATTTTTTTGAATGGACTAATTTAAACACAGATAATTCTACTTCTAAAAAAAATTTTTTTCGTCTTTAAAGTAATTTGACTTCATCTGTAGATCCCAGGGCATTTTTTTATACCCTGCTGTTGGTAGACACAGCTAATTCTTCTGTGGTAACAAAAACATTTTTTTGGTTTTTTTCAGAAAATTCATTTGCTATTTTCAAGTTCCAGCAAATGCTGGGAATTAATCAAAGGCAAATTAAAGCTTACTATGAAGAGTTTATCAGACACAAGGTGGGAAAACAGAATCGAGGCAGTGAAGGCTGTATTATTGCAATTTGATGATGATGTTGAATGCTTCAAAAGCTTAAAAAATCAAACCGAACAATCAGACACACACAGTGATTGTGCTTCGGTTTTAAACGAAATGCTCAGTTTAGAATTTAGATTTAGAATTTGATGTTAGTCAAAGAATATAGTTTGCATTTTTATGAATAAAAATTTGACAGTTTCAACTGTTTTTTATTTTATAAAATCTGTCTTCTTGCACCACCAGAGGGTCTCATGAAATGTACCTCGACCACATCAAATTTAGGTCTTGCCCCGCCACTGTGCATGAGTACTAACGGCATAGAACAACTGTGCATTCTTCAGGAACGTGTCAATGCACAAACATATCAGAGACCATTGTGATACCATTTATGACAAAGGATTTAGTTGAGGAAACATTTCTATTTCAACAAGATGGGGTACTCTCTCATACTGCGAAGTCGATGATACATTGGTTACAAGAACGAAAGATTGCAATCCTGCCTTGGCCAATTCCCCAGACTTAAACCCCATTGAAAATTTGTGGGGAGTCATGAAAGGATGATTTAATGAATGGTGTCCAACTTTTAAAGAGGAACTAGTGAAATTCATTTGACACATTTGGAACTGCATCACCAGAAATGAATGCAGTACTAATCTGCACCATGCCCAACAGATTGCAAGTAGTAATTATAGCAAATGATGATGCCACAAAATATTAAGTTTATTTTGTTGTATTTCCTATATTTAACCCACATTTAGCTAATATTCTAATTTTTAGTCATGGTCAAACTGTTATTCTATTTTTTGTCATTTCATTTTTTGTAACAAAAAACATTTGAGTTAATTTGTCTAATTAATGGATATAATAAATATACATAAGCACTGCTTATGCAGTGTTGAAAAAAGTATCATACTCTGTGTTGTTCATGAGAAAATGTACACTAAACTTTCAGTTAAGTGAATATTCTGATTTTTTGTCTAGGAGTTGTATGTGCATAAGCTTTGTTAAATTTATCTACATAAGTAATTTTATGCATAAATCTGTACTCAATACCCTCTTACAATGATAATCTGAAGCAGTGGCATACCTGGTTATGTTCAACTTTTTAATGCACTTTAAAATATAGAAGCATTGACATTTTTAACATTAGAGTGCCTAATTTTTCAGTTGAGATTATCTATGAAACTCACAACAGATTCACTGAATCATGATTTTATGAATCTCAACTAAGGTTTTCTTTTTCTTAATAGGATAAAATTCTCAATGACTTAGCCATAATCAAGCTTTTCATTGAATGACAATCTGTCCCAGTCAAAGTTATTGTCAAATTATAAATATGTTTTGATAATATATTGGTTTGTCACATCTTTGATTACTGGTTTTATTCAAATAATAGCCACAGTTACTATTCAACGGCAGCTATTAATTTTTTTTGTACATGACTGTTTGACATTCATTGTTATTGAGTATTTAAATGTGCACTTTTATAATTTGTTTTAAAACTCAAATTTTTAAATGATATGGCAAGTAGCACTTTTCTTATTACTGTTAAATAGAAAGTAACATCTTATAAGAAAATAATTTTAAAAAACACCTAGTATATAGTACATTTTACACCTTTCATTTACTATTAAAGTCTATTTCTTAGATAAATGAATATGGTACCATATTTATTTATTTAAGAAACAGACTTTTATTTTTATTTATATTTAAATTTAAACTTTCCAAAATTAGAAGTTATTTTAATAAAACTAGTAGGAAAATTTTTATAAATTTTTCCTATCTAATTTTTATAAATTTTTCCTATCTAAAATTTTTCCTATCTTCTATAATGGTAAAATTATATTTTAAAATAATTCTTTACAAATACCATTGATAGTCAAAACATTTTTAGCCACTTATCTTCTTACATATTAGTAATATGCACACAATATACTTACTGAGTGCATATGCTAAGTTGAAGATAACTTTCGGTTGAAGTCTTGTCGAGAAGGGCATTCAGGAAAAATGCAGGAGTCTCTCCCGACACGGCTAAATTAAAAGACCAGGAAACCTAGGATTTTTAAAGCTTTGATTACAAAAATGAACATAAAGCATTTTGTTTTTGTCAAATAACATACCTGAATTACACCCATTCCTACACCAGTCACTTCAATTTCTGTATACTCTGTTTCTGCTGGCAACTGTAAGTTTATATTCATTAATTTTCAAAAATATAAATTAACAATTATATATTGAGCATTCAAATAAAATTGAATTTGTACTGGAGAATTACAGCACATGAATTAATACTGACAGTGATTTTTCTTAAAATTAAAGTATTCAATTCTGCTGAAATGGTGAAAAATGGTTTTGAAAAATGATATAACAATTTTTTACCATTGAGAAGGTGCAGGTTCACTGCCAAGAAGTGAACCTGCACCTGAGACAACCATTTTTGCTATCCCTGCTTCCAGTTTCTAATAGAGAGCACTTCTAGTGCTGGCACTCCGGCAGTTCTGCTCCAGGATTGCCGTCTACTGTCGGCAACAGGCTCTTCCATCTCACCTATCATGGCCTTTTTTCACCTGTGGGCACCCTTTTTTTTGACATGGAGTTAGTGGGCCACTGCACCTATCCACTGCTGCTATTGTCTGACCTTTTATGTTTGTTTCTCTTCCTCTCCTCCTGAAGGGCTCCTTTCAGCACTCTGCTAGGTACTAACTATAAGTTTTTCCAATTCCAGAGTTTAGTTCAAAACACACCACACAGTACTACACACCTGTTGGAGACAGTGTGGTGAAGTCACTTGTTTTCTAGGATCTGTTCTTATTATTATAACTACTATAATAAAAACATACTTATTCGTGCCTCTAACCAGTGCGTATAAATACAAAAATAAACAACTTTGTAAAAACAAACATTTTCCGAACACCTTCCATGTCCTTCAGATAAAACGGCTGGATTCCTTTTTCTAAAACACTGTCACGCAATTTTAAAAAGAAAAATTTGAACGACGATTCGATTGTGTGATATCCACTGCGCATGCGTTGTATCTGTTGTGTCCCCACCATTCAGAATCGCATTTACTCTTCTCTCTATTTTTATTATGATCTTTACATGTCCTCGTGCATCCTCCTATACCTACCACATCCTTAGTAATCATTATGTAATAAGGCTTGCCAAGCTAACGAAAGAGCCATTTCTTCTTGGGAGTTAATGCACGTAGATGTAGTGTGCACCTTATATATTTCTATTACTTCTAGCCATTTGAGGTGTTCCATGCATTTTGTTTTGACTATTAACGATGTTCCTGCAAAGTCTACATTGATGCCCGGTTCTGACGCATAAATCGCAAGTGACATGGTGGCTCTGTTGTATTGTATACTACTTTGTGTTCCTTAATCCTGGTCCCCAGGTACCCCAGATACCAAATCCTGGTGAGTGATAGAGATTCGGTAGGGATTTGATCTACATAGGATCAACAAAACGCTCAATGGGGACCAGGATTAAGGAACACAAAGCAGTATACAATACAACAGAGCCACCATGTCACTTGCAATTTATGCGTCAGAACCGGGCATCAATGTAGACTTTGCAGGAACATCGTTAATAGTCAAAACAAAATGCATGGAACACCTCAAATGGCTAGAAGTAATAGAAATATATAAGGTGCACACTACATCTACGTGCATTAACTCCCAAGAAGAAATGGCTCTTTCGTTAGCTTGGCAAGCCTTATTACATAATGATTACTAAGGATGTGGTAGGTATAGGAGGATGCACGAGGACATGTAAAGATCATAATAAAAATAGCGCATCAGACACGTAACAGAAGAGTAAATGCGATTCTGAATGGTGGGGACACAACAGATACAACGCATGCGCAGTGGATATCACACAATCGAATCGTCGTTCAAATTTTTCTTTTTAAAATTGCGTGACAGTGTTTTAGAAAAAGGAATCCAGCCGTTTTATCTGAAGAAGGACATGGAAGGTGTTCGGAAAATGTTTGTTTTTACAAAGTTGTTTATTTTTGTATTTATATGCACTGGTTAGAGGCACGAATAAGTATGTTTTTATTATACACACCCCGGTGAGCACAAAGAAGTTACATTATATCTACTTTTCACCTGGTAGTAATCTCCAGCATCCCCTTTGTTTTGTTGCTCTATGTCATTATTAAGCACTCTCTACTCGGTTGGGTTTCTGAACTGGATTTTTGATTTTTTCCCCTAGCTGGTCAGGTGGAGTTTTCTGGGTTTCCTCCACCTATTTTTCCAAATGGGGTCTGTGAGTTACCCAGAAACATTGGTTAGGTCTAGTTGGTTAAATAATGCAAACTTTCCTATCCATCTATTCTTCCTCTTATTAAATAATTGACCATGGTAAGTTGTAATAGCATAAACATAATATATACTATGCAGAATAAAATTTGAAACACAACATATACACATATTATTATAAGCCCTAATAAGGGACTAGTGATTTCTTATGACACTATATGGGGCAATTATGAGCCCATCTTGGGATCCCATCTACTAACCAACACAGACAGAATGTTGTATTTGTAAATACAACATTCTCTGGTCTTTTTGTGCTCTCTGAGTGGTAAAGGACCTAAAACCACAAATAAAAAAAAAGTGCTGGGACTCTTCCTTGAACTATTTAAACAACTTTAAAATATATTTGAGACTTTATTGAATTTGACTTATTATTATTTTTTCATCTTTTGAACATATTTGACAGCTTATTTTGCCACGCAGTCACTATTGCCTCACTCATTGAGCTGGTGCTGCTTCTTGGCTAATATGGAACCTGAAAATATGGAAGTTGCACAGTGACAAATCTAAATTGTATGGAAAATAGTGTAGAATCTCATATCCAAAATGCTGGTTATAACTATGGGGACAATGGAAAATATGTAAACAAGCATTGTTGTGCAATTTTCCAGCCATATTCTCATTTTCATTTAAATGCATCATGATTAAAAAATTCTTGACAAATCTGTCTTAATATATGTAAAAGCATAAAAATTCTTGTTATGATTATTAATGTAGCATTTTAATAATCAAGATGATTAACTAATTGAATATCAAAAAATCTATGTAATATTAAGTTAAAAAATTTACATCAATTCGTTGCAAGTTCATTATATTCTGTTCGTTAATTCTTATATTTTTACTTCTTTCATCTCCATAATTAAATTTTGCATTGATGGACGTTGCAGTCGAGGACATTATTGAACCAACTTCTGCTAATGCTTGTAGTGCAACTATGCTATCCTGTAACAAATTGGACAAGCATAATCTTTTTATTACAGGAACAGACTGTATTTTTGTCTAAAATTATTAATACAAATCAAATTACCTGTGTTGACGTAAAACCTCCAATTTCATTCTGACTGGAAACGAGCCATTTTAGTACAGGTATTGCTTTATTAAACTCACCCTTTCGTGAATAAACTAGTAAAGCATATGCAGTCATTTCTATGTCTTGGGAATGTTGTAAATAGAAATAGTCTGATTGTTTATCCGTAACATTAATCTTTTCTTCCGAGTCTGTCCAATAACTCTTATCTCCTTTATCTATTTTAAATACAAAATTTAAAAGTTAGTTTAGTAAATATCAGAACAAATTAACTTTCTTGTTAGTTTATGTAATAAATAATATGTCTTTTTATGTATATATATTTAATGCAAAAGATAACCTGATTTTTTAACAAGTCCATCCATTTTGTTAATTCCATTTTCTACAACATTAGCATGTCGTGGATCTCCTTGAAGACTTAATGCATAATTAATAATATTCATTGTATAAGAATCTCTAGAGCTATGCACTTGTTCACCAAGATAATTTCCAATGTCTTTTATTACCGTCGAATAGTTTTGTTCAGCCTTTAAAAAGTTAAATTTGTTATTTAATAAAGGATACTTCAAATTATTTGTTATTATAGTAATAAAAACATAAGTTATTTAAAGAAAATTTGTGCTTAATCATAATTATCACACAGGAACTTCAGGCAAATAATAAAATTAATCCTAAAGCTGGAACTATTTTGTAAACAAAAATTTACTAGGTTTATTTTTTAAACAGTGAATGCTGGAAATTGAGAGGAAAGTGTAAATTTTCATGTTTATTAATTACAAGAGTGAATTAATAGTTTATTTGTTACCATTTATCTGCTTTTTACTAAATTAAGAAGTTACAATATTTAAAAAGCTGTTTATGTTGCCCTTTCCAGGAACAGTATACTGAACAATATTGAGAACTTTTTGCATATTTTCCCCTCCTTGCTTAATTTACAGTTATTGAAAAGTCATGCAAGGAGAATGAAGGACAATAGTATGATAGTATTAATAAAATCCTCCTCCTCTCCATTTTTTATTTGCAGAAACATAATAATCTATATATATAAAAATGAATGTGTCTGTGTGTGTGTCCTATGTCCTTCATGCATTACCACACCGTTTATCCGATTCCCGTGAAACTTTGGGAAGTTGTTTAATATACTCTGGGGAAGGTTTGTGGCATAGTACGATTGCCATAAAACTTTGGAAAGTTTTTTTAATTTTTTAATACACTCCCGCGAAGTACATTTATCCTACGATAGATGGCGCGCGTTTACACGAGCATTCGCGCACAGTGTGTTAGATCGATTTCAAATTGTGAAGACCATTTCCCCCTTTCAAAAAATATCTCTATATATGCATTTGTTATTTACGATATTTGTAATAATTTTTGTTTAATCACTTTATTTCAACTTTTTTTATTGCTAATTATGTATTCGCTCGAACTTCTAAAACCTTAACTGTACCCCGAACAACAACCGAAGTTGTAGGAAGAAATTCGCGTATTTTACCGATCTAGGTATCCCCCCTTTTCCAAATTTTAATATCGACTCAAAATAATTTAAAAAGACAAATTACAATAAAACGGTTTATTATCCAACTATCAGAAATTTCACAACATGCCAAGGAAGAGAGGAAGGAGCAATTAAATAATTAAAATTATAAAGGATTTAAAAATATATATATAAATGGGGAATATCGCGCTTTTGACAATCGCTGCAAGTGTGTGGGCTAAATTTGGAGAATCCGTGCTTCTCGCATGGACAACTGTATGTGGCCGGCTCACGCGTCGGAAAACCTTCCGATTTATTCGTGTACGCACCAGACGGAAAAACAAAAAATATCATGTATCCACGAGCACTCCAATAAATAAATAGAATTGAAACAACACTTTGAAATATTTTCCCGATGAAAATGAATAATAATAATAATAAGTTTCAATAAAAATGATAAAATGAAAATTTAATTTTATCATTACGAGTTTGCTTGCATTTCGTTTCTTCTGAGATCGCAGCAATGTGCGATGGGTAAGCTAGTTATTTATATATGTAAATAACATATTTCTTAAAGAGTGATCAGGATAAATTATTAAAAAGAAAAAATGGTTTTTGCTTCACATATAAATATAAAAGCATTAAATACAAGAAGAATAAATAATGCTTTCAGTCAAACTATAAATTTAATCCTATACTCACAAAAGCATGGTTCAACTCTGATGGAAGGAGAAAAAAGTCCTAAACTCACACATAGTAAAGTGTATATGCGTTCCCAAACTAAGAGTGTAAAGCTTTTGCAGAAGTACAACAAGACCTTCCACAACATGTGAGGCTCTGGACAGGTCCAAACCTTCACTAAAATTCACATTAAAATTATTTTTGTAACAAAAAAAAAAATAGAAGCCAGACACAGATTTTTGTTTATATGAAAATGCAATATGAAGTCATAAACAATGTAAGACTAAGTTCTAAGATCAACCATCTCTAGTTGGGAGATCAAATTCAACTTAGATTTTGACCTCTCTTGCAATCTAAGTTGGGATCCCGTTACACATAGTAACAAGTGATTGACCACTTGGAAAGTGAGAATGAGGAAAAGCAGCCAATCAGAATGGGCAATTGAGGACAAAAATCTTACAAAACCCCCAGATTTCAAGGTTGAATAAATTGCAGTTTTTCTAGGAATTGTGCTACCAGTTCAGACACATTAACCTTTTTCTCGAGTGACATCAATATTGCCCCAAGTTCCTCCCATCATCTCTATCCAGTGTATGCTGTGTTTTGTTCACCCACCTGCTGAACACATCTCATCACTGTCCCGGGACTACTGTCAGATATCCATCAGGACAAGCCATCAACAGTTATCTGAAAGAATTCTCTTGTTGGCAATTGCCATTCATGGAAAAATCTTTGTATTAAAATATGTAAGCAAATCTTTCATTTTAAATAAATGGGATTTTGTAAAGATGCCTAGCATCAGTTTCTCCGCCACCACCACCCATATACGAATTACGCCTTTGTCCATCTTGACGTGAAACTCAAGATTCTCCCCTCAGTCAGCAAGCTCATAAACATAAGGTGTGATTGGAGGTGTTATGTAACAAAACTATTAAGAATCCTCTCAATGTAGATAGTGGGAGGGCTGATTTATCAACCACCAATTGCAGAAAACTCTTCTTGTGTTTTTTGGAAAATGCAAATATGCTTGGAGTTGTGGCAGTTGTGATCTTAAGCACTACTATACAGGACTTAAGATCAAAATTCATGGTAGTTTTTTGACATTACCAAGTCAAAATTCAATAATCTGTATTAGAACTTTGTTGTTTCCTTGTCATTCTGATGTAGGTCCTCTCAGGACTCTAACTTTCCTGACACTGTCACCACATGTGTAGAGAGGACATTTTATGATCCAGGTTAAAAAGCATCAAAGCAACAATTGCATTAATTCAATATTTCATATATAATTAATATTAAATCTCATTTGATACAAATAATATCAACTTACTCCGTTTTGAAGAAGTGATATCAGTACAAAAGCACTCAAAGCATTCTTATTTTCCTGAAAACAAAAATTTTAAAATTGTTTTTAAAAATAAAATTACTAAATTTAAATTTTAAAAAATATACAGAAAACTAAACAGTTTAAATTTTATTTTAAACGAATTTTCCTCTCCAATGCAGAGGACTTTGCAAACGTTTTCAAACCTAATGGGGTTCAAAACCGGTTACAGGCAGTGAAGTTGGGTAATTTATTACTCCCGTGTTAAAATTTCTTCATAATTTTCCTGATATTTTTCCTACAAAGAATTTATAGGATTTTCTATAAAGTCATTCTAAAAATAAAGAACATTTGTTTTTCTAGATATTTTTATTTAAGATAATGAAACAAAACTTATTTTACAACACATGATACCTTAGCTATTTTTCTACATAGTCACCATACAAAATTTAAACATTTGTCATAGCATATCACCAGCTTTTCTATGTCTTCTGCACACTCAGTTACTGCCAAGTTCTTGAACCAGTCATTAATAGTCTCTTTCAGTTCATTGTCCCTTCCATAGTGATTCCCAGCCAAAAAGTCCTTCAATTTTGGGAAAAGATGGTAATCACTTGGAGCCAAGTCCGGGCTATAAGGAGGATGTTCAAAAACTTCCCACTTAAACTGCTGAAGCAAGTTCTTTGTCAATGCTGTAGCATGCGGATGTGCATTATCCTGAAGTACAATGCCTGTGGATGACAATCCCTGCCATTTTTTTCGAACTGAAGCTTCATTCCTCACATGACCATAAACCTAGGTTATCTGTCTGTAAATTTCAATACAGTGGACTTTTTTCACATTCAAAAAGCATATTATGCTATGAACCTCACATTTGGTGGGATCTTTAATTTTGTCACACATTTCAAAGTCACACTATAAACAGTAAACAATCTTTGCGGCTCTCTGTTAGCATCAGACTGGCGTGAAAAAAGGGAAGGTCCATGACGCAGCAGTGGGGGGTGGTGGGAGAACTGCGTGACTCGTCAGATCAAAACGTTCTTTTCTTTTAGAATGACCCTCATACATACAATAATTCTCATGCCATGTACCAAATAAATTTTTTAAAATTAATTAATTTTATCAACCAATAAATTTTCAAAATTGAAATTTTACCTGCATTGGTCTGTGATGAATTTCACCTATTTCTTCAAATGAATTGTCAGAATTCCGATTTTGAACCAACCACTGCATTGCTTTCTCAATGACATCTTCATCTATGTCAATTAATGTTCTTGCAGCATAAAAATATTTGGTCACTAAAGCTGTCAACCTATTAAAATTAAAAGAAACAATAAGTTAGATAGCCAGTAAGATTGTTGATAATGATTATTTGATACTAATGCATTGCTGTATTAAGACTAGTGACTGGCTGTAGTTTTGCCATTATAGATGGTCCTGACTTGCAATATCATTAGCAAACATTGCTCATATTACATATGTTAAGTTATAGCAGTGGCGTGCCGTGACATTTTATGATAGGGAAGCTGTGTTTCTATAATAAGCCGACTTCCAGGGGCAATCAGTCAGCAATAGTCTAGGGTCCATTCGTATTCGTTTGTTCGATAAGCCAGTAAAAACCGCAGACTTCTCTAAATGTATTTTTAATTAATAGATTATCTATCGCACTTAATAAATAAGCAAGTTCAATATAATTAACTCTCTTATATTAGATTTAATAGATTCTATACGCCCTCTAAATGCCAATTCTCGCTTCGATAACATCTACTAATTAAAATATATCTATTAGCCGTAACTATCTTGTTATAATTTTCAATATATATTTTATATTGTGTACTAATGTTAAATTCTATTCTATTTTGATTTCCAAATTGCTTCAATTTTACGAAAGAATCGATGCGAGATTTAGGATTTTCGTGTCTTTTGCCAGCTTTACTCAAATTATTTAAATCGTCAAAGCCAATCTCATTCTACACACTAATTTTATTTGAAAATAGTAGGCAAGGCCAACAAAACAAATTTTGCATTTTTATGCATCCACAAAGCCATTTTATATCTTCATAAATTTTATCATGAAAATGTCGAACAAATTTTTTCTTTTTCATTATATGGTCTCGAGCCAAAACTTTTTGAAATAAATTTTCGATATCACAATTACATTCTAAATTGCTAGCTATAATATAAGGGCTAAAATTAAAAATAAAATTATAAAAACTTACTTGTTAAAATAAAATGTGTGATGATATACAATTATACATACCTGGTACAAAATATTCAATTGTATGAATATACTTTTAAAGAAAATTATAAATATAGTTTTGTGAAGAAACGTACATAAAAATAACATAAAATAGTCTTTACTTTTTAAATATTAAAACAATCCACCTAGTTAAAATTGCTCCCTACCAGTGGCTCGTGGATGGAATCAGAGACGGTCTTGGTAGGTGTGCGGTGCGGTGCATGCTTGCCAAATCCCGAGGGTGCCGATACCGGTTAATGTCTCTTTTGTCTCATCACTAGTATATCTCAAAGGACGCGACAGGGTTGTTGTAAATTTTAAACGTTTCTCATCATAGCTGTAAAAATCTAAATTTGTTAAACTTAAAAGTCATTTGTTTTCTAACTACTGTAATTCGTTTTAAGACCAGGTGTCCACGGAAATTTCCAAAATTTACAACTTTTACTCACTTTCATTGAACTGGAAAAATTTCTGTCTTTATTACATCTAATATTACGAAGAAATCAGTCCCACTGTACTCGGCTAGATATTGGTCCGGTTAGGCTTTTGTTTAAGTAAAATTCCGGCTCTTTCATCAGGGTTTTGTTTACGTCCCCAATTCCCTAATCGCTTAATTATTTAACTACTTCTTAAGTAGAAATAAGTCGAAACCAGTTACTTTGTACTCGAATATTTGTAGTCTCGGGAAAAAAGTGGAAAGACAAATTTTTACGACAACGGATACATAAATCGTAAATTTAAGGAAAATAAATTCTAGAGCCTTTTCTGTACCTGGTGCATCTCTCTCATTCATTAAATTTAGTTGTAAATGACGCTGTCGAAGTAACGGTTAATTTTTTAACATTATACAAGAATTGTACACGTTTTTTTCTACATCCCCTTAAAGATGGGATGTACGAAATCGTAATATCACTGGTTTAACATCGAAATCCGTGAGTAATATAAAATCGGAGAGCGGAATAAATATATCAAATATTTTAATGGATTTTTTAAACTCCTGTCAACTATACAGAACTATCGTAAAAACATACCAGTAAATTCTTATCGGTTGGGTTAAGTTATAAATCTACTCGTTATTCACGTAATCGAAATATCTAGTGGGCAGGCGGCTAACAGCCCAGAACCGGTCCTTGATAGAATTGGAATCTTTATATGTGTGCAGCTTTCACCCAAGGTCGTAGGCTTCCACCGGCTAAACCGGGTGAGGTTGGTGCTCTGTAAAGCGCATGCGCAAATCTGGCTTTTCGTAATCTGAAAATACAGGAGATTCCACTCCGCCACTAATATTCTAATATACAATAGCAATTTTTTTTCCACGTGTAGTATAGAAATTTGTAATAAGATACATAATGCGGTTATAATAAAATATTGTGCGATTATTTTCATATAATTAAAATTAATATTTATTTATTTTTTAGAGAATACGAGGGAGGGGCGGCGCTTCCAACGCTTCTAATGACGGCACGCCACTGAGTTATAGATATCTAGAACTGATTCAAACTTTGGCAGCAAGCTAACATCTTACCAAAGAGCCATTTGACCAACACAAATATTAACAAAATTACATTACCAGATACTTCCACTTCTGTCTTTCTGACCAAAGCCACTAAACGATCCATCATCTCTCTTGTATGTTAATTGTCTTTGATATCCTAGAACATATTAATAAAAATTAAGATTCAAAATTTAATAGGAAACTAAATAAAAAAATTTAGGATGGAATTACCAAATCGAAGGAATCTTATTGCTTTGTCTTTGATGGAATTAGTCAGACGTTGAGACCGAATGAGATAATTTGTTATGATGACATTCGATGCAAAAGTCAACATGTTCTGTTCGCCACATCCATAAGGCAGACGAAGAATCTGTTCCATGTTATTGATGGCAACTCCGAGTATATCTCCTAAATGTGTACACAGAAATACATTTAATACAATATCTTATGCATGATATTTGTAGAAATTAAATATGTAAAAGCTGGATTTCTTTAGGCTGTATTTTAGTTACACTTACATAAAATTATTATTAAAGTTTTTCTAAAATTTTATAATTTTTCTAACTGTCCAGTCAATGATTTTTGTACTAATTGCAATTATTAAAATATTCAATATGAAAAGATCAATTATATTCCTTGTAATTTATATCATAAATTTATACCATAAGGATGTATTCATAATTGCGACTGTATTCGTATAAACATGCTAAAAGAAACTCGTAAAATATGGTAAAACATCATCCCCGACTCGTGTTGCAACAGGATTGGTCAAATCTAGACCAATAGCAGATATTGCAGAAACAGTTGAGTTTAAACGAGCAGCGGACTTACTAAAAACCATTTATTATTTAATGGCCATAAAAATTATATTTATATTAATGATGTCTACAAAGTTCAGCAAATTTTTTGCAGAAAAATAATTTATCAGGGAACATGTGCTCGCCATTTGATGCACCGCTCCATGACGAAAACAAGCTTAAGCAATGGCGTCGTTGAATGCTGCACACTCAGTAAGTAATCCTACAATTTTTTTGTTTATAGCATAGTTTATATGGATTAATCCAAAAAAATTATACGTGTTTTGGAAATGTTGAGTCAAATTAGTCTAGAATTGATTAATTTTATGGAAGAAAACTTTTCAAACAGCCGTAGTCCGTAAACTGCATACATGCCAGGCTGTGATTGACTCATGTATTTATGGACTTGTACAACATGAATTTCATAAAACACGGAGTGTATCTACCATGTTATGGGGGGTCTACTGTAATTTACAACTAATCATAATTTTAATACAGTCAATCAATACAATTAAACAAAACAAAATCACTTATTTAGATAGTAAATTAGTTAAGTTAAGCTTCATTTTATACATGCATAAGCCGAAGACGACTTAAAACAGTCCAAAAATAAAGTTTGGTTACTAAATATGCAGTATTTTTTTGTTTTATTTTATTGATTGATCATATGAATGATGTTTCCCACATTTATGCAATTTGATCATAATGAAACAAAATTATCAGATAAATTCCAATAAAACCTGCATATTTCATATCAAGGCATTCCATCTCATGCAGTTCAAATTTAGAATGTTAACAGCCTGAAGATATCCATTTAACATGGAGTTTTTCTCTATATTAAATGAATATCTTCAGGAAATAGTAAACTCATGTTCACTAACATAAGTTTACTATTTCTGTTACTTTTGGATTTTGTGACAGTAGTTTATTTAATGTTAATCAGACGTTACCAGTCATTATTCAGATAGTTTGAAAAAATTTATCTGATATTTACTCTTTGTTCTATCACCAAAAACAGCACTGATAATTTGCACAATATAAAGTCTCTAATATGACTGTATTCGAGCGATGTACAAAATATAAATGAGCCTTTATGAAGAGCAATCAAACTGATTAGCACTCATAAAAACAGCAAAACCTCATTCTTGTCTGCTTTCTTATTGATGCAAAGAAATATCTTAGAAACCGATTTCAAAATCCCAAGTAAGAAACTGATATAAGTTATGGAAATGGTAACATTTTATTTATGGAATTATAAAAAGGAACTACATTGTCACAAGCAAAAACAAATTAATAATGTATTATATACAGACAGAAAAGAGTTGAAGGATTTTAAGGAAGCCAAAAAATAAAGGAAGAAATATGAATAGCAGTTTGAGTTTCTATTTAGTTTAATAAACTGTCAAATTATTTCATTTCTACAATTTGTATACTGAAATGTAGATTTAATAAAGAATTAAGTTCTATCCTTTACATGATCATCCATCTAAAGGCAAGAATTAGCTAGTTATTTAAGTACCAAAATTATTTACATTATAAGATTATTTATTTATATAAATAAATTCTAAAATAAGAATTTGTCCAATTTCCTTACCTACACCAGAAATTGTTATTCTTTGTGAACCTTCAATACTGTTGTAAGGAATTGGAATAGATATATTATCTTTAACTGGCTCTGTTCCCAAAGATGAAAAATCCACAAACATTGCCTTGTTGAAGTATTGTGTGCTGCCTTCAAGCTGTAAAATTGTATAATAACTTACAATTTCTAATTGTGAAATCATTAAAAACAAAAATTAATTAAATAACTTAATTATAGTTATTATTAACCTTAACATGTAATCGCTTTGTGATGGCATCACTTGCACGATCTGTGTTGGCCACAACTCTGATGTCAATATAACCTACTTTCTTTGGCGTGATAAGAAAAGATACTGGAGTTCCTTCATTTGGAGCTATCTAAAATTTAAAAAAAGAAATTTCTATGTTCAAGAACACTCAATAAATTTATTCAAATTCACTCACCGTGACAAATTTTGATCTCTCCCTTTTATCTTGATATTCAACTTTATCTCCACCAGCAATTGTGAATTCATATTCATTTTTACTATTTACCATGGTTACTTCTGCCTAAAATAAATAATAAACTTGTCACAGAAAACATAAAATATATTACAAATTTACCTCTTAAATTTCCAATACCTTAACAGGTCTTGAATTATAATTAAAAACTACAACTTGAATTGCAACAGATTCTCCTTTTAGTACTGTATATGGTAGACTCATTTTAATAAAGAACTGTTGTGATACTTTGATCTGAGAAAGAGAGAATTTTTTTGTTAGTAAATTTAATGGATTAAAAATTATCAAAAATACACAGTAATTAAGAATATATATTTTATTTGGCATTGTTTCCAGTTTGTATTGTTTCTGAATAAATGCAGTTTATCCATTAGCAAATGGCATTATTTACAACCTATTAGGTTCTTTGACTGAGGTGCTAAACAACTCCATGAGTTGTTTCTGTTAAAATTGACAAAATCTTAAGATGAGAGGACACAAAACTGAAACAGAAATCATTCTGATTAAATGAAAACTGGTTGATAAGCTAAAGTATTTAATGCACCTTAACAGTAGGGATTTTTAAAAAATAGTGCTAATGTCTTTGGCCTGGTTGATGTGGTATCCTCAGGCATTGACAATTGAAAAACATTAATGCATCTTTAATTTAAAAATGAGATTTCTAAAAAGGGTGCTAAATAAATAAATATGGCTTGATTAAGTCTTCTTGTTCTTTTTTTCTCCTTATACCATCTTCCTACTGTGAGACTTTACTTCTAGCTTTTGTCCTGTGACCACACCGTGATTGGGTGACCCAGTGGTCTGATCTGTTTAGAGAACAAAAGGGATGACACCTGATTGGTCAAAAAGGGTATTGGCAGTGGACTGCACAAGATTCGAAAAAGGAGAGGATTTATTTTTTGGAGAGAGCTGAAAAGAGACGTATGTATCGATGAGTACAGAAGAAAGTTACGACAGAATGATCTGAGGTTTTTGTTTTATTTATCACCAGTAGTGTTACCACCCATCCAGTTTTTATCTGGACAGTCTGGAAATTGACTCGCTGTCTGAGTGAACTATTAACTTTGTCTGGGAATTTTGTAGAAATTGTGAAATTACAATGAAACAAATATTTTTACAAATATTTTTTCATTGTAACAATATTTTTTTTGTTATTTTGCAAATATTTTTACAAATTTACACTATTTTAACAGCAAAAGAACTCACACTCACTGAAACTCATCTGCAGTTCTGTCATGTTAACCTATTTATGCTGATGTATGGTGTGCAATCTGTCAACCTTTTTTTTCTTTTTTTTATGCATGATTGTACTTGTCTCCAATATCCATTAGAACTAAGTAATCTGTACCTGTTCTTTCTTAATTTAGGTTACTTACATTACGTTATACATTAGTCCCTAACTCTAACTTATTTAGAACCGGCATGCACATTATTCTTTGTATTGTAAAATGACATTGTGCATGCGTCAATAACTTCTGTTCGAACAAACCTGACCTGACGTCTGGTTCAGAAATTTTGAAAAGGTGGCCCCTTTAAACCATTTCCTTCTCTAGAAACTTTTATAATCCTATGATTCTTAATATCTTCCCCTTAACTTTGGGCCTAATTACTTGTATAAATTAGTTAAGTTAGACCTAAGATAGACTAGGTTCTTTGTTTGTCGGTATTTGGGAACCATCCGTTGTATTTGTTACGATCGGTCCCAATTAATTTTATAAATTCATAGTTCCTAAGCATGAATGATTGTTTCTTCAGAATTTTAGTGTTTTTTTTTTTTTTGTGATTAGTGAAAATTAAACTTATTTATCAATGCTGAGCGATTCCCCAATTTCAGTTATTTATTACTCGGCAACATAAATAAGCTAGTGTGTTATCTTCAACTGGTTGATTATGACTTCAAAAACACAATTATAGACAGTGGCGTAGCGTAGTGGGGGCATCAGGGGCAGCCCGCCCCAGTCAGCAATTTTTAGGGGGCAACAAAATTTCACAATAAATAACAACAACATCTTGTAAAAATTTGAACCATTTCATTTTATATTTTCGTTGCACCTACGATTTGGACTGATTGAAATGAGCACAGGGAATAGTGTTACCATACAGACAGTCCAGGAATCGACTCACCATCTGGGTGAACTATTAATTTTAACCAGCGATACTGTGCATAACCTGTTGACCTTTTTATTTTTGTTTTTGCTTGTACGATTCAAACTGTAACTGATTTAGAACTGGCATGCACTGCACATTATTCTTTGCATTGCAAAATGACATATGCATGTGTCAGGAATATGTTTGAACAAACCTCACCTGTCCTCCGGGTCAGCAATTTTAAAAAGGTGGCAACACTAACATGGATTTTTCATTACTTATTCTGTGATGAAACTGAATTTTAGTCTTAAATTGAGATACCTAAATAAGGGGACGGCGAAATTTTCCTTTGCCCTAGACGGCTGACACCCATGCTATGCCACTGATTATAGAGTAATTATGACAAATGATATAGAGTAATTATGACAAATAATTATAGAGTAATTATGAGAAATGATTTATGACAAAACAATAACTGAGTTCCAGGAAAGCCTTATTCTTCAATTATGCACAGGAAACACATGTGGTGGTTTCAATATAAACAGTTTTACAGATATCTAAATTTTATCAAGTTAACATAACTTATAAAGATTTATATAAAAAGGAAACTTTTAAAAACAGTAAATAATTTATTTGAATTTAAAAATAAATTTCTAGTTATTGATTGTTATTAATATTGAAATATTAAAATATCTGAAATGGATAAAATGTGGGCCCTTCAAAAATTTGCAGCAGGTCCCTACATTTTTCCATTAAGGTGCTGATTCTTATTATTCTGAACATTAATACCTCTTATTTCCTCAAAAATTATTGTTCTACTAAATAACAGTTTATATAACAAATAAGCTTGAAAAATTCTTATTAATAATATTAAGCATCGTTACCTCTGCAGATGTATCTTGAATTCCTAACCCATTTGTAGAACTCATAGAAAATGCACTGATAACCCATGTTGTTAATGCTTTTGGTACTGAATGAGATATAACAGCCACACCATCATTTCTATACAATAAATATATTTTAGACAATAACTTAACTTATAAATTTCAAGTTTAAACAGACTATTTTAATTACCCTGCTGTTGCATTCATCCAAAGCCAAGTGTCAGGATACAGTTTTCTTAGGACGACATGCTGTTTCTCGAGGGGTGCATCCGGTAATGCCGAGGGTGGCTGCACCGGAACATTTAATGTTCTGTCGTCAATGTAAATTACATTCTCTCGATATCGATCTGATAATAAAAGCATCCAGTTTTGTAATTTTTATTAATGACTGTATCACAACAATAACAAAAGCTATCAATTGATAATTACACAAGAATATAAGAAAGAATTTCTTGGCTTAAGTCTCATTTTGTATTTCATAATTATTCAATGACAGATATTCAAAATTCAAATAAAATATCTTACCATCTTTTGGAAATCTATAAATTAATCCATCTGTAAGAACTTGAACACCAGAATCCTATTAAAAAAATTAATACTAAAAATGTATAATTTTCAGAACAAAAAACATTCATTTATATTCTTTTTTAAAATAAGTTATTAATTAATTTTAATTACTTCAAATATTTCTGCTGCAGATGTAGATCCTAACCACCAAAGAGATCTTTTCTTCCTCTTTCTTTGATTCCAAGGTGGCCAATATTTATGTTCTTTACCACCATCATATGTTTCTAATTCTTTGATTACCTTTTAAGATTATAATAAAGTTAATCTTTTATTATATATAAAGAAATTCATAAAACTTTATAAACTTACATCATTTTGTGATATATCATTTCCAGATTTTAGTAAAATGCTTTCTTTATCTATGGCAAGAATTCCTATAAGTGCATTGGGCCTGGTTTCTACACGAATTTCAACTGTCGTATCAGGCTGTACTTCTTTGAAATTGCTTCTTATGTTAACCTACATGAAAAAAATGTATTGCTTTTCATTGAAATATAATCAAATATTTATCTGAGAATTTATACTGACTTGGGTCCTAAATACACCTTGCACTTCAAAGTTGACAGCATCAGCAACAATTTCTTTATTCGTATTCCTTACATAATAAACAATTACTCGTGCTTTTGGTGCCATTTGGCTAGAAACTCTAAAACTGAATCTGTAAACTTTTTCATTAGGGACAGGTATCGTTCGTGCCAACACCATGCTTCCTCTTCCCATTACCTTTGAATTTAAAATAACTCATTAATTAATTTTAATTTTATTCAGTTTCTAATAATCATAAAACATTTATTATGTTGCAGTCAAAATTTATTTAAATTTAATTACTGTTTAAATACTGTTAAATTTATTTAATTATTTTCAAATATTATATAACTTCTGTTCGAACAAACCTGACCTGACGTCATCTTTGAATTCTTAATATTCAAGGGCCATTCAATAATTAATGCACATAATTTTATTTCTCGGCTGCCTTTCAGTGGAATTGAACGAAACTTTTCACACCGTATTTTTTAACAATTGTTGTATAACGGCACAAAGTTTCCGTTATTTCCATTAGATGGTGGTAGTGTAGTTTAGTTTAAAAATGGCAGTTGCACATGAGACACGTACAAGGCAGAGAGCTGTGATTGAATTTCTTTTTTGCAGAGCATGAGACCATCTCAAACATTCACAGACAGTTACAACATGTGTATGGGGATGAAGCAGTGGATAGGAGTACTGTCAATCATTGAGTTAGCAGAGTGTCAACGACAGAACAAAGTAAAGTGAGACTGTCAGATTTTCCACGCTTCGGACAGCCACATGCTGCTGTGACTCTGGAGAAGTTCAACGCTTTGATAGGCTTATTCAAGACAACAAGCGAGTAACAACCAAACAACTTGCTGCTCAACTAGGCATCTCTGTTGGTAGTGCCAACACAATTATCGACTGCTTAGGTTATTCAAAGGTTTGTGCCAAGTGGGTCCCTAAGTGCCTAACTGAAAATGGTATACAAGCTCTGGTACCAAACTGGCATACAGGCTCTGGCATCTAGATGGCATAAGGCCATAGATTTAAATAGAGACTATGTGGAATAAGGTACTTGTAGCCAATTAATTGGAAAATAATGTAGTATATTTGAATTTGTAAAAAAAAAAAATAAACCTTGAGTAAGAGTTCACTTATGAACATCCTAGTACAATCCTTGAAAAAGCAAATAAAAATATTTAATTCTGTTCTTATTTCCAAGTTTGTTGATGTCTTCATACATAAATGTATATGCTCATTATATTCTTTTATACCTTCTAATGAAACGTAGGAAAACTTCGGCATTCTGTTATCACTTCTTAAGATGAATTGTTTTTCAGTCGTTTCAATAAGATTTTGTTTTTCAAGTTTGTCAAGTGTAGTTTTTAATTTTTTGTTAAGTGAGTCAGTAGGGTTGTTGCTAAGTTCTGTATCTTGATCAAGTAATTGCCTGTAGATGGTTTTATCTTGATCCTTATTCACTATTATTATTTGTTTTGTTTTATCCACTTTGACAATTAATAAGTTGTTATCTTTTAAATAATTTTTTTAGGTTTTCTATGTTACTCTTATACCTAATTATTTTATTTTTTCTATTCTTGTTGATTTTATATTTAAATAGTTCGTGTTGAAGTTCTTCTCTTAATTTGATTTTTTGTTCTTGTGTTGTTGGTGAACAATTAATGATGTTTTCTAAGCTAATGGCCCACTTGTTTCTATCAACAGTGATTGGGGCATTAAAGTTTAAACCTTTGCTTAGTAGTTTACACATATGGGGTGGTATTTGAATGTTAGATAGGTTGACAATTATGTTATTTAGCCAGTTTTCCCTTTCCTGGATGGTTGGAGTTAATTTAATTTTTTAACAAGTTTTGGTATTTTTTGTAGTAATAAATTTGGTTATTATGAGTGAGGGTTTCATTGTAATTAGTATGATGGGCATTTCTTAATTTTTTGATTATTTTGGTTAGTTTTTTAGCATCATATTTTTTGTGACATATAACAAACTTTAATATTATTTTTTCTACAATTACAACATTGTGTTTTTGCACATATCTAACTCTACTATTTCTTAATTTTAAGGTTGTTAAAAAGTTCCTTTAATTTCTGAGAGAGCACTAAATGGAAGTAGCTCCATTCTACTTCTAGAACTTTCTTTCTAAGAAAAAAAATCTTTGAAGTGAATGACACTTCTCTTCTCCATTCCATGTTTCATATTCAAATTAATTAAAAATATATCCCCAAAACAAAAGCATCTGTCATTCTCCATTTGGAAACATCCATTTAAAAATCAATAACTTGAAAGTATTTCCTTTTTCTCGTGTAAACAACATCCAATCCTGACAACAGGATTCAACTTTGCTTTGGTAATTGATTTGAACCTTAAGCAAACTCCCTCAGTCCTTGAATATATTTTAAAAAAACAATAAAAAACATATATAGTTGTAGTATCAGTGATATAATAAGATTTTATCATTAATCTTTCAAATATATATTTAATTGCATTAATTAAATAAGTTACATAACCTTATTCTGATTATTTGTTTAATGATCATACATTATAGCTTAGGAGAAAATCTTTTATTAGAATCATTATAATCATTTAATAATGTTTACAATTTAAAAATTTTAACTAGAATTTCCACAAATTCATTTTCCTTGTCTGTGGTATCTTAAATGTTCTTTCAATTAAACATATTCCTAGAAATTCAATTTTATTTTGTTTTTCCTCTAAAGTTAAGGTCTCCATCCTTGACTTGTAACTTATGTTAACCTACATGAAAAAAAAGAGACGTATGTATCGATGAGTACAGAAGAAAGTTACGACAGAATGATCTGAGGTTTTTGTTTTATTTATCACCAGTAGTGTTACCACCCATCCAGTTTTTATCTGGACAGTCTGGAAATTGACTCGCTGTCTGAGTGAACTATTAACTTTGTCTGGGAATTTTGTAGAAATTGTGAAATTACAATGAAACAAATATTTTTACAAATATTTTTTCATTGTAACAATATTTTTTTTGTTATTTTGCAAATATTTTTACAAATTTACACTATTTTAACAGCAAAAGAACTCACACTCACTGAAACNATTACCAATAACAGATCAATTATTTAGAATAAGAATTAAATTGTAAATAATATATAAATGTAAAAATAAATAACATAATACAATATTTAAACAATAATACAACATAAAAATAAAAGTTATTAAATTTCGGTTAATGCGGTTACAGATCAGAATACAGTTTATGAGCTACTTGTAAGCTTTTTAATGGCAAACTTCCAAGCCGAGGGCAGACCCTCCGCATCTCTGGCGTTTATACATCCTTCAATCAAGCTTGCTCCTGTATATTTCCATTTTTTCGGCAGTTTTCACTAAAGTTAGAGAGTGCACTTGTCTGATGATTTCCACTTCCTCCCATCCAACTATGGATCCTTGGGCTTGAGCCATCTGTGCCAATATCGTAGTGTTAGATCCTTTCCTAACATCATATTTATGCTCCCTGATCCTTACCCCGAGGCTTCTCGTTGTAACTCCTATGTAATCCTTTTTTAACCCTAACTGCTGATTCTCATATGGGATCCTATAAACTCCTGCTTTATCATCCTTATTAACATCCCCTTTATCATTTCTTAGGATTTTGTACAGACTCAGAGCTCTTTTCAAGATCAACATTGAATTTTTAATGTCCACAATCTCCTTCATGATGCCTCCTATACTTTTGTTGAATGTAAACTTTGTGTACATTCAACAAAAGTATAGGAGGAGTCATGAAGGAAATTGCGGGCATTAGAAATATGATGTTAGGAAAGGATCTAATACTACGATATTGGCACAGATGGCTCAAGCCCAAGGATCCGTAGTTGGATGGGAGGAAGTGGAAATCATCAGACAAGTGCACTCTCTAATTTTAGTGAAAACTGCCGAAAAAAATGGAAATATACAGGAGCAAGCTTGATGAAGAATGTATAAACACCAGAGATGCGGAGGATCTACCCTCAGCTTGGAAGTTTGCCATTAAAAAGCTTACAAGTAGCTCAAACTGTATTCTGATCTGTAACTGCATTAACCAAAACTTAATAACTTTTATTTTTATGTTGTATTATTGTTTAAATATTGTATTATGTTATTTATTTTTACATTTATATATTATTTACGATTTAATTCTTATTCTAAGTAGTTGATCCTGTGGCCGCCAGCGCCAGATATCCTGAACTCTGTCTGGCAACACTTGCCAACAAGAGTGGCTGGAGCGTCAAAAGAGAAAAGGCGCGAAAGTTCGTTGGATTTTGTCCGGGTGTTGCCCGAGGATGTCTGTGACAGTTCTAAACTTTTCTAATAAAGTTCTTTTTGTTACTGTTCGTGTTTGCCTGCTTAATGTTAGATCTAAACATCAGTAGGATTGAATGACAAAATCCGTTATTGGTACTTTTGATATTTTTGAATTTTGAATGTTATGTTCCATTTTGCATTACAACAGCTTAAGACTTAGAAACAACCATTGGGGATTTCTTTAATGACTTCTAACCAAATAACAAGTAAAATGTTGTCTTGGAAAACAAAGAAAAAAAATTTTGCAGAGAGAATAGATGAACATAAAAATAACTTCTGTCTAGCATGCATAGGAACCTTAAGGCCATCCATTAATTATGTAGTCAGTTTACAGGAAAGGAAGTCACAAAAGCTACATCACTATACATTACATAATGGAGGAGAGGAGGCTGAGGCATTGTCTATGTGGATATGTTTTAGTGACATTAGTCTCATATGAATTTGTTCTTATAAACCTACTTACTAGTCATGCAAATAAATCATCAGCTACAAATATTTGCAGAACTTGAAGTCAATTTTTCAATGTAAGACAAGTCCATAAACTATTGGACATGTAATTAAGGGGGAAGGATTAGACAAAAGTACATCATTTCATTGTACACAACAGCAAGAGAAGGAGTAAAAAGTAGCTCAAAAACTGTACACGGTTAATGAATGGCCACTTGTAATCATTCTATAGTTTAAAACTCTCTGTAATTGAATTATTTAAAGAATAATGAACTAAAATAAAAAAGTAATTTAAAACCTTTGATTTTTAATAAAATATTTGTTTTAAAAATAAAACATTAAGTTTTTAGGAATTCTTCATTCATTATTTATATATCAATACAAATATGTAAACATCATCTTTAAATATTCACTAATTTGTTCAAAAATTATTACATTACCTATATTAGTTAAAATTTTAAATAATTTTAATTAATATTATAGTTATTTTTAATTTAATAATAATAAAACATTACTTGATATGTTAAGTGACTCATTGGTTCAGTAGCATTTACTTCAAATTCGACATTATTTCCAACTCTAATGCTTGTTGTTAAAGGAGTAACTTGAATAAAGTTGTTACTGGGTGATACTGCAGAATCTATTCCATCAATGTAATGAGTCTGTCCTCGGAATTCCACTCTCATATATAAAATGTTAAGTTCTTCGTGAAGAGGATAGAATTCGAGCTTCAGCAATCCATTTTCTGGTAATGTGTAGTAAGACGACTTCCAGTCTTTTTCAATATGAGTATAACCAAATGTTAATTTTAAGCTTCTATCTCCTCCAACTACCAGTGTCCCATCTTGATGTGTAACTTTCAACTAAATATGTAAATATATTTATTATTTTTATTTACTTTGGTTACTTCTGATGTTATTCATTTCATTATATTTTTAAAAATACATAAATAAAAATTTATATCCAATATATCCATCAATTGAAAGTTTACATAAAACTCTCAGTTTTAAATTTAAAAAGTACATATATACTTACAAATGCAGTAAATTTTAACCCTGATTTAAATGTATCTGATGTTTTTATTAATTGAACTTTAACATCTTTATCATATATCCACATAGTATTTGTTTTGTTGTATTTCCGTCCTGTAATTTCTTCTTCTACGAGTGCAAAAAATTCAATTTCACGTTCAAAAAAATCAGTTTTTAATTGCAGATCTCTCAATAAATTCATCGAAATGTCTATTAAACCATTAATCTGAAAAAGTTATTATTATAATTTTTATCATTTATTTATTTTATTAGGTTTGCTTTAATTACATTACTATAATTTTTAATAACCTTTGCTTTCACTTGTGTTGACTCGTAAGGTCGAACAGATAGATAATTATACCTTGTTCTTGGAGCTACAGTTAATGTTACATCACCTCTCACTGGCTTTCCATAAGTATACCTAAGTATTTAATAAAAGTGTCTAAACAATTTTAATAGCACTGATGTTAATTCAACAAAATAAGTTATTCAGCAAGCATGCTGTTAATTATAAACAGAACTATAAAATATAGATAACAGAAATTTAATGAATCATGTAATTTAAATGTATATTGATTTTATATTTAGATTCTTATTAAATATGAAATTTATAATATTTTGATTGATTTTTTAGTGCAATTATTAGACAGTTGTGAAGCTTGGGTTGGTTTACTTTCTTTTGCTTTTATATTTTATTACATTGTCACAACCAACAAAAGTTCTCTTACAATATCTTTAAAGAATGACTCATAATTTGCATAGACAACTGAATTAGATCCTAACAGTGGAGTTTACCGTATACAGTAGAGCATCAATTATCCGAATCAATTGGGGACTGGGGTTGTTCGGAAAATCTATATTTCGGATAACCAATTATGTACGAAAAATATATTAATTTATCCCATGTTGAAAATTTTCTCCGTTGCGTGTCGCTTCGCATTGAATTTTCGTCAATGTTAAGCCTAACGAAGACTATTGTATCATTAAAAATTATTTTTTTCTTTTGTACAAACAAAATAAATATATTGAAGAATATAAAAACAATAAATAATTATACTTCAGAAGTTAATTTAGTATCAAAAACGTAAAATATTTGAGTAGCCCAAGACAGACAAAGATTGAAGCGCCAAAACACTGGCAAAAATTTAAATTTGCCGACTGGAATTCTTTTGGATAATTGACTTTTGGATAATCGACACACTACTTTTTATTAAACCTGATAAATAATTTTCATCATAGAACTGAAGAAAATGAATTACAATTAATTATAGTCACTTATACATGAATAATGAAAATGCAAAATGAATGTCAAATAGCTTCTAATATTCAAAAAATTTAATTAAAACTTTTATGTTTAATCAGAAAGTAATCACAATAAAGTGATAGAGAAATTTGATTCAAAATCTTTTCTCAGAATGAAACTTTTTAGGAAAATCTTTTTTGCTCTATATAACTATCACGAGGAGTCAGCAAGAAAAAAAAAAGAAAATTTTTGTCTTGATGAATCCTGATGATGAGCATGTTATTTCAAAATACAAATTTTCTAAGTAGTTTTTATTCCGAGAAAAATAGTTTGAACTGAATTTATATTTGAGAAATTTCTTTAATAAATGCATTAGCAGAGAGATTCAAGGCCATCAATGTATATTGTATTTTTCCTAAAAAGTGCAACTTACATTTAAATACCTTTTGGACATTGATTTCCCATTGAACTAATATATTACTTGGGACATATATTCCTGACCAACTAAAAAATTTGAATTTTTATGGAAATATATAAGCATATGAATATAAATTACTTCTTTTATTTTACACTAAACTGTAACACTGTAATTTTATTTGAAATACATAACAGTCATCCATGATTTATGATAACCACCTGAGATAAGCCATGAAAATATTAATGAAATAAAAATAAATTTAAAATAAACAAGCAATTATTTATTGTGACATGATTACAATGCCAGACTGCAATTTTTAATCATATTTTTAATTTATTTAATTTAAAATAATGCTCTCCACTTCAAATTAGTTGTGGCTTGCCCCCACACATCATAACTTTTCCTTTAACAATAGAGCTGTACTTGTCATCTATCTAACTCCTTTCAAGTAGAAATTTTTTTATTGAAATAAAATGACTTTTGGTTTGCATTGGAAGTTCTTATATAGTTAAGCAGGACCTCCTGCCCCTAAGGTTTCCATACCTGGTCTCATCTTTCATCTAATTCTAATTGCAAAATTAAGGAAAAACAGATGAATGACTGGGAATTTGTAGGTCTACAAATTGCAGCCCAATAATAAAAATATAAAGTTCAAGGAAAATATACACTCCTGTTCAAACAATGTAAGTATGAATTTATTCAATAAATCATATAGTTTACCATTCTTAATTAATCAAAGACATTATGCAAAATGATATATTGAGGACCCTCTGTAAGATGTTAATGTTTCATTGTTATAATTTTCTTCGTAAATAGTATTTAAACCATTTCTATATAAATATTTTCAAAAAAAAATCAATAAAATCATACATTGCTTTTATAGTGCAGACAATATCAGATTCATTGTAGGTTGCGTAACTGGGTAAATCGATATGAACTTCAAAAGTTGGAAGTGCTAAAATTAAAATTTGACTTTTAAATATTTTTAAGTATCAGAAAAATATTATAAACAGAAATATACATACAATATTCGGCTACGGTAAATGGTTTAGAAAAATTTTGTCCCTGAAATAATTTTTTCATATATTATTAACTAATTAAATAAAATGAATTAATGATATTAAATGAGCTTTCTTGAACTTTCACACACCTTTACATCAACGTGAACTGTCCAATCTCCTAAATTGGGATCATCTGCTAATAAGAAATCTGCTGCAGCAATACCTTAATAATAAAAGTATGTAAATATAGTCAGAATTAATTACTTCATTAACTTTTTGAATTTTATAATACCTCTACTTATTGGCACATTTCTCCATTGATGTATTTTATTCATATGTGAATCCTACAAAAGTAAAAACACTTTTTAATTTTATATTGTAACGAATTTTATATAAGTAACAAAACATCATATTGAAAATTTTATATTAAGTAACAAAAGGACTTATCTCACCCTAACATGCATATCAATTGTTCCCAAAACTGATGGAATCAAATAAGGATCCACAACTATTGCTCGAAATTGCACTGTAAAATATATAAAACATTTTACAAACATCTATAACTCCAAATAATTTCTACCATGTTTGATATTTGATCAGAGTTTCTTCTACAAAATCTTGAATGAAATATTCTTGAATTTGATTGTTTGGTATTTATTATGTGAATTTTACACTACATAAGTAAGTAACTGAAGCTTAACATGTTCACCACAGGGTATAAAAACTGATTTCCCTACCAATATGCCAAAAAATCTATACATTAATCATAAAAAAAATGTTTTATAAAACATTTTTCAATAAACTTTTTAAAATATATTAGCAAAATAATATAAACATTTGTGATATTTATAAATAAAAATTAATTTCAATAAAGCAACACAAAAATTAATAATTTGTTAAACTTAAACAAAAATACAATTTTTATAATCATAATTTGTAACAAATTTTTGTTTTTGGGGGTCTGGAAAGACATTACTTCTTCACATAGGAAGGAAAAATTATTGAATTTTGAGCTGCAAGACATACATTATTATAGACAGGGCTATTTTTCCAGTCAGAACACACTAGTACACCATACTGGCAGGTAGCATAAAAAGTATTGATAGCTGGTACAGTGCATGGTACTGGCAGTTGTTCAGTAAAAACTATTCTATATGTTCAATCACTATATATGGATACTGGTAGTGATTTTTTTTTAGAAAAAAGAGCATGTTTATAGTTTTATAAATAACAGTGAGGTTGGGGCTGAAGTTTTAAACATGAAAACGTTTACGTTGGACATTCAGCACCGCTTTCCTGTAAGCCTATAAGTTTGACAATGGTGTTTGGAATGTCGAGCATGATTCCACTGACTATCCAAACACCATTGTCAAACTTCTAGGCTTACAGGAAAGTTGCGCTGAACGTCCAACATACATGTTTTTGTATTTATAACTTTGGCCTCAACCTCGCTAATAAATGATTAGTTATAATTATCCATAGTTCTTAGAGTGACTTTTATCAAAAAGCTTCTGGAATCAATTGTGGCCATTGGCCATAAGATTGTATATATGTATTTATTAATTTAAGTTAGTTTTAGTCTTTTCCTTTGTTCTCATCTCTTCTAGAACTTTCCTTTCCAACCCTTTTCTCCCCTCCCCAGATGGGATTACCATTTTCAAGAACTGTAAGAACAAAAGAGAATTAAGGCCCTGGGGCCAAGAAAACAATAGACAAGAGTTTTGGATTGAGCTCTTGAGGAGAGCAGACGAAAATGGGTAGTGCTCCAGGTTGAGAGTAGGACAACTGGAGACAGAGAGACCAAAGGCTATGATTGGCCCTTGGTCTCTCTCAGTCTCCAGTTGGATTAGCCAATCAGACCAAGGGTCGCTGATTGGCTAATCCAAATGATTAGCCAATCTGCAACCGGCTTGCGAGAGACGAGAGACCAGAGACAGTGACCAGAATACAGCCACAAGATATCCATAGAGAAGGAACCTGTCAGGGTTCTTTCTCTATGGGTCCATATCCTTCTCTATGGATATCTTATTACAGAGACATCTAAAGTCTCTGTAATAAGTGTAACATGGTGTCCCACCCAAGTTTGTGAAGGCAAGAGAAATCCCAGGTATTTCATTCTTCCACTTAATCTATCAATCCTCTTCTATGACCCTTCCTCTTAGTTGTAAGTTTCAGTCTGTGTATGATTATCGTGCATGTATATCTCATTGTTTACTTAACCATTGTTTAACGCCTTTGTGTAAAGGAGATAATTGTAGACTTGGAATCTGAAAGAACCTGTTCATAGACAAAAATAAAACTTTGTCTGATAATTTTATGTCAAGTATTTATTGTAACAATATTCCATTCACTGGTCTATGTACGTTTTCACTACAACGTCACAGAATAATCACAGTCCTTGCCTCTCCAATCTTTATGTTGTGCCCCCAAGGATTGGGATATATTTCTGCTCACAATAAAAATTTTATTTCAATGATCACAGAGTACAAGTATCTTCATTTCAAAGCAATGAGTTTGCCATTACTACAGGAAGTGATACTTCTTATATTTCATATTGAATTGCTAACTTTACAACTAAATTATCTTAATTATTAGAAAACTACTTGTTTAAAATCAGATAAAACTTCATACAACTTGAAATAGCACAAAATTAAAACAATAATAAATTATTTTAACTTATTTGTTACAGTAGCACTTCCAGGTATTAGAAGTCATTAGTAATAGATCTGTACATACATTTTGCAGGTCTAAAAGATTTATGTACACTTATTTTTTGGTTAAAAGGAAACATATGCTTCTATTTTTATTTTGCTACTTTTCTACATTTCTGGTTCTTATCAATGATAATTTAAAAATATTTAAATTTACAAATGTAACTATTTTTAAACTAACCAGTTTAAGATTTAAATTTACAATACTAACTACAAATTTTAAGATTTAAATTTAAAATAAATTTAACATACCTAATTGGCCTGGTTTATATACAGCTTTATCTGTTTGAATAAATACAGAATAACTTTTATGTTCGTATATTAATTGAGTATGATTATGAAAATTGGCTCCTCCATGACCCTCTACTGTAAGATTATATAAACCAGGTTTCCAGTCGCCAATCTGTTGGGAAAAAATATATAAAATTTAAGCAAACTGAAATATGCTAATATGTTGTATAACTAAATATAAAATAAATTTCATAAATTTTTTTATCTGAACATTTATTTTTANAGTGGAAACGCAGAGCGAAAAACGATAGTAAAAATGTATCTTTATTATAAATTACGTCAAACTAATCAATCATTAAATCAATGCAGCTAAAAAATTCTTAAGTCACATGAAAAAACAGTTTTAAAACTGTTTTAACTTGTTTAACGAATAATCAATGAATCTATAATTTATTTTATTTTTGTATTTAAAAATGCTAAATAACGTTTTTATACGTGAAATGAATATTACAAACACTTATTTTAAACCGTAAATGTAACGATAAAAGTATTGCATACGAATGATAGAGATACTCAAGATAGTTCAGATTGGACGAAAGTATTCGTTACTATTAGAATCCTATGCTAGTAAAGAGGTTTGTGTTCTTTATATACTAAAATTTACTTTTTATTTTTAATTTTCTGCATATTTTAAGTTTCTTCGTGATTATTTTCGATCCACATTCCATATAGTTTTTATTGAAATTTGATTTTATTTTTTATACGTTCAGAATGATCATAAAACGAATGAAAAAAACAATATATTTTTTGTAAATCGAAGTTCTTTGATTGACAAATCAAAAGTAATTAAAGAAGCGAAAATTATAATTCTTCCTAGAATGTAAAACTTCCTTACAATGTAGAACCAAGGCCGTCCAGAGGATGGAAGCTAGGGAATTTTCTTTGGGGTCAGTGTAACCTTTGGGGCCTTTACTGGTTTCTATAGTGTAACCCTTATACGTTCATGTTTTTTATTTTTTTTTTACTAACAAACAATAAAACCTGTAAGACTGTTATTTACTAATAAAAGAAACATCCATTTTTCAAAAATATGCAAAAGAGGTTGGGTTAGGATCAAAAAGGGGGTAGCTTTATTTCCGGGTTTCAAATCAAGCTTTAGATGGCCTTGATTAGTTTTTTAATTCAGTTCAGAATCGAAAATTACGATTTTCGTGTTAAAACATATTTCTAAAGATGAGAATGAAATAGAAAATGATTTATTTTTATAAAATATTAAAAAATCCACTCTGATACAAAAATCCAATGCTGTTTATTTCCTTTGTTGTTGGGATCACCAGCTATATTCCAATTAGATAATTCTTGAAAATTTCATAATCCTACACCATGCCTATGGAGCAATGACTACTCCATAGGCAATTTCAAATTGAGGTATAACCCACACCCTCTTTCAAATTGCTTTTTAAACACAAGGATTATGCTCACGAAAATAGAGTTAAAAGTAAAGTTCTGGTTTCCTGAAGTTAAATTTGATTTTTTTAGATTATAAAATGCAATTTTTTGGAGCAAACATGTGATATTCATCTTCAGGTGACAGATCCTAAAGTTGTATGTATGTGTCATCTAAAGGTAGGTGTAAAATCCATAAAAAAAACAAAACATCAAGTTTGTACTTCAAAATACAACATATTTGTCAGAGAATATGTTTGAGAAACTTCTAATTTTACATACATATATATTATTATGTACAGTCGACCCCCCTATAAGATAGAGATACGTTCCATTCTCTAGGAATCCGCTTTCTTACGAATCCTTCCAATCACAACCCGACACGTATCAAGTTTACGGACTACGGCTGTTTGAAAGATTTTCTTCCATAAAATTAATCGATTCTAGACTAATCCGACTCAACATTTCCAAAATACGTATATATTTTTTGGNCCAATGCTGTTTATTTCCTTTGTTGTTGGGATCACCAGCTATATTCCAATTAGATAATTCTTGAAAATTTCATAATCCTACACCATGCCTATGGAGCAATGACTACTCCATAGGCAATTTCAAATTGAGGTATAACCCACACCCTCTTTCAAATTGCTTTTTAAACACAAGGATTATGCTCACGAAAATAGAGTTAAAAGTAAAGTTCTGGTTTCCTGAAGTTAAATTTGATTTTTTTAGATTATAAAATGCAATTTTTTGGAGCAAACATGTGATATTCATCTTCAGGTGACAGATCCTAAAGTTGTATGTATGTGTCATCTAAAGGTAGGTGTAAAATCCATAAAAAAAACAAAACATCAAGTTTGTACTTCAAAATACAACATATTTGTCAGAGAATATGTTTGAGAAACTTCTAATTTTACATACATATATATTATTATGTATACTACTTTGTATATACAATATATACAAAGTATTAATATTATATATTTTATGCTTTTAATAATAATTTATCAAAAAATAACAATAATATATACATACTTCTAATTCCACAATTTCTGTTTCCCCTAAAAATAAATGAATAAAAATTTAATTAAATTCTAATATAAAGAAAAAATTTATTTATCTAATATATAACAATTGTTAACATACTTGCATGCAAAACTAATTGTTTACTGACAGCTTCAGTGAGCCCTTCCACGCTAACTGTCACATCCACTTCCGCCAAAACATCATATATGGAAACACTAACATGATAATGAAAGTTGGGACGAAGTTTTTTAGGTGCAATAACTGCATAAGAATTTAATTCTTGAATAACACTGGGAGAAAAAATATATATAAATAAATTTCTAAGTTATAAATAGTGAAAAATTTATAAATTAATAAATGAATTTGAATTACCTTTGTGATACTATCCCATGAATAAAAAAATATATTAAAGTGACATAAATCTGTCTTATTACCATTATTCTGAAAGAAAAAAAATTTAAAATAATTTATGAAAGCAAAGAAATCTGATTATTTTATAATAATTTCATTGTATAAAAACAGCTATTAGCTTTGTTATTAGTGATAAAAGACAAGTGCTGTCCAGATCAGAGATTTCAATGGCTAAAAGCTACCAAGACATTGAGTCAGAATAATAACAGCTGCTTGAAGCTGGAGCTCAACAGAGGGGAAAAATTGCCTTTGTGATAAGCTTCAGCTCATCACAATTTATAGTGAGATGGTAGTAACTGAATGGGGAAGACCCACTGCAATTCTCAAGGTTGCATTTAAAAGAGACACTATACAGTACAAGGCACTGGGAGAACATCCTCCAAGCACTCCAAATTCTACATTAGGGCACAAAATGATGATTGTAAAGTGCAAAAGATCTTCCACCCTGGTGCCATTTCAGCAAATGTGAAATATTTGAGGAAAAAGCCTGCCAGCAGAAGGATAGTGCAGAGAAAAGTAACATGGGAAATCTAAGTGAAAGCCAATTAAAGCATAGACTGAAAACTTGGAGAGAAGTAACCTGAGGAATTACATCAATCATAAGCATAAACACCAATGGATAATAAGACAAGCAAATAGAGAAAGCACTTTTTTGTGCCAAAAAACCATGCTCCACTGGGATACCAAATGTTTGAATCAGTTGAGAACATTTTAAACCCAAGAAACTGCTATACATTGGTTTGAAGGAGTCTGACGAATGGCATGCAGGAAGAGGAGCAGACAGCAGGATTACTTGATAGTAGGGACCCACTCTGTAACTTTTAAGATCATCTTCATGGGCTGATCCTAAAAGATCTGGAGTATACAGTAAAATGTCTACCACACAAGAGTCCCCAAAACATGATGGAGGCCCTTTGAGTGATAGAACATTGGTCTGTCTTTATAACCAGTCAGAGATTTTGTGGCCCACCAGTGGCCAAGCGGTCTTTGTACTCTGAACACTGAGAGTTTGGTCATGGGTTCACACCTCGCTTGGATGGACGGACCACGTGGAGTTTTCCGGGTTTTCTCATCTGTAATGCCTAAATAGGGCCAGTTTCCCTTAAAAGACCTCCCAGAAGGCATCCCCTAGGCAGATTGCCCAAGTGTTGCATTGCCATAACTTAATACACAACAAAGAGATTTTGCCCAGCTTGATCAGGCTAGTAGTCCCAAATCCCACAGGGACTGTGGGCATTCCAATCACTACTGACAATGTAGGAATGCAAGTGGTGAGGTGCCTATTGATGAGACAGAGAGTAAAGGATAAAAGCACCCATGATGTGATTATACATTGATGATAGTGCATTGAGTCATGGTCATAGAGTTTGGCACTTAAGCATTCAATGTCAGGGTCTGGTATTGGAAAATCCTCCTGAGATGCCAGTCAGACTCCAGGCAAGGTTATGTGGAGATCTTCCACCATGACCATCTGGGTGATCTCACTGAAAGATTTTTAATTCTAGAATCAAGGGACAACAGGTCTCTTGGATGAAAATGATTGGAATGAAGCAAGAGTATGTGATAAACACAATTTACTCTCCCAGAAGTAAATTGTGTTTGGCACATACTCTTGTTTCATTCCAATGGACTATATGAGAGAACTGATCAGACATTTGTGCATTTTGTTATGGTGGTATGCTGATGGATCCTAATTGATTCCACTATTGACCACGGAAAGATTGATCAGAGGCCAGCGAATTGGAGAACCCTGGACAAAAGAGGGGGTCAGCCACTAGTCCATTGGGCCATGTCAAGAGACACACAATGAGAATGTGTCTCACACTTTTTGTAATATTTTGTAGGGAGAGCAGGAAAATCAAGCAACGCAGACTTGTGCTTAGTAATTGGTGGCAGTGAAGGAGGTGAGGTGGTGGCTCCAAAGGAGTCATCAATGTGGTATGGTGTGCTGAAGATGTTTTCTTGGGGTATATTATCTATGAGGCCATGAAGTGAATACAGCTCTTCTCAGAGGGCTGCCATGACCTGTTCCAGTGTCAACACCCTCTCTGTATGAATCAGAGAGGGATACAAGTCTGACCTTCTTGCCCATTGTTAGAAGTAAACTGTAGAGGTTGTCAATAATAAGCTTTCTGGGCTGCAAGCATCTTGAGTGAGATCACCAGCACCATGGTATATGAAGTATTTCTTTCATTTCTAGGTAGGAGCATCACTTTTGGGCACTCCTTCTGGAAATTGTCCATTCATTTGTTAGTAAGAGCATTCTTTGGAGTTGGCATAAGGCTCCCAAACAAGCACTGTGCAAGAATGAACAAGCACATGTGAAGGGATTGTGGTCTTGACATTGCATGCATTGATAGTGACACTAGGCGTGGCCAGTGCAACCAAAAGCCAGAAAATGGTCCCACATCCTGAGCTAAAAAGATGAAAAAAGTGCACCTGTAATGCTGAAAGTAAATGGATATATAGTTGGTGGAATGCAGTCCAATGACTGAAAAGTAGACCATCTCTGAGCTGGAAGTAGCCTGAATTCAGATGGATAAGGCGAAACACTTCCTGGATGGTAAGAAGCTCTTGTAGTGATATTGATGTATTGATGTCACAAAGGAGATACACAGTCTGAGTACATTCTGGGGCAAGGCACCTCTTTACCCCAATGCTTGCAAAGGAGCTACAGGCTAAAGCTCTGCAAATCAGATGTCTTATTTATCAAATAGCTCAATGGATGTCTACCAGTTTTTGTAGTGATGAAAATATCTCTGAAAGCATTGTGTGAATTACTGCCAGGGTCAGTCATGAGTTAGAGAATAACCCTCCAGAAAGACCGTGTAGAATGGTGGGACCAGACAACTCAGAGCTGAAGCATAGTTTCTCTCATATGGATAGGTGTGAACCCCCAACAAGGGAAAGGCCCATTGGCTCTGGTGGTATAGGTCTACCATACTCCTGGTTGGCGACTTTGCAGCTAAGACAACTGGAGACCCAAAATAGGGAAGAAGGTAACTGGGAAGAATATCCCACAAAAATGTACTCACCCCCTGAAGGGAATCCAAATGGCACTACAATGTTTCTAGAATTAAGACAATCTCCAACGACAGTACGATCACCGAAAATATGCTCCAGTGAGCCATTAAACCCCCAGGAAAAGAGTTTGTACAAACATCTTCTATGATGACCAAGCTACTTTCTTCCAAAATGAACTCCTATCTCAAAACCTCCTCAAACTGAAGTCAGGACAATCATTAAATAATAAACTGACTACATTTTGGTAGTGCCAATAAGAGGCTCACCAGCAGCGTTGCCACAATGAAATTTCAAAACGTACTGAAGCTCCTTCAAAAAATGTACTATTTTCCTTCAAAATGTACTATTTCTATGGTTTGTTACTTTTAATATTAATATACCATCATACTCAATTTTTGTGCTTATTTCAAATTTACATTCACGAATACTTTGTTAAATATGAATACTTTAAAATTAAATATTTCATAAAAAGATTTTATGAAAATAGTTTCTATGGTTTTTTGTTAAATACATTAAAAGTTGATTTTTTTTAAATATTATAGTAATGGATAAAAAAAATTATAAATTAAATATGCGTGGACAGATTCAAATTAAAAAAAAGTTATTTCTTTTACCAAGATTACTAAAATTGAAGTTCATAATTAAGAATTAAATTATAGTGGTAGAAAATAATATAAAAGTATTTATATTATTTGTACTGTATAATTTCAAAACTATTTTAATAATTCGACTCTGACTTAACGGCTATTTTGATATTATTGATGACAAAAGTTTAAAATCATTGATTCCCTTATCTGTCCAATATTTTTGTTTGACAGAGTTGAATTGTTTGGACCACGTGGCGTGAAAGATTTTGTCAAGGTTCTCGTGAGAATGTGACATGTGTGAAAGAGAACCACTGAGTCATAACATTTGCACGTGCAACTATCTGTATATTGTTGATGTCGACCGACATAAACCATGTGTATGTTGTGATTGGGTAAATCAAATTAGCAAGCAGTGACACTAGACAATAAAGTCTCACTTTATTAAATTAGTTTAATAAAGTGAGACTTTATTAAACTAATTTTTAGACATTTTTTTCGTTAAGGCATGAAATATTATTTTGTACCATAAATGGTACCGAAATATTATAATGTACTCAAAATGTACTAAAAATCTAAGTGTACTTTCAATATACTTGAAAGGGCAAAATGTACCCGAAAAGTACAAATGTACTAGGAATGGCAACGCTGCTCACCAGTAGTCGAGTGGATAAAGCTTCCGAAGTCTGAGCACTGATAGTTAGTCGTGGTTCGCGCCTCGCCAACGTGGAGTTTTCCAGAGTTTCTTTATGTTTGTAACATCTAAATAGGGATCAGTTTCCCGTATAAATTCTTTCCGTGAGGCATCCTCACGGAAAGAATTTATACGTGAAACTTTTCTCTTCAGCTGAAGGCCTACGTGTCGGGAAGGCAAATAAACCAAGTCAATGCAGGATACACAGTGCCCTCTCCATACTCGGGTCCATGGCCATTTTTCTTACCGAACCGCTCTGCGTTTGTGGTATATAAAAATAAGACCACAATTTAACGATAGGCAGCAAATTCCAAAATCCTCAGAATTTTATTATTATTGTTGTTGTTGTTGTTTTCCGACAACAATCTGCACGATTATGTCGGAAGGTGCCAGAAGGTTCAGGATGACAAAAGTTTTACACACAACTTCGTCTCTACAATAATAAACATTAATGAACGGTAGCAATTGTTTACTCATAGATATGAGGTTTTAAAAAGAATCAGTACTCTAAACACACAAAATTCCGTGAGATTCTTCGAAATACAGGACATTTTTTTAGAAAATCCTGGAATACTGAACATTTCGGCGTCCCGACAAAAAAAATGTCGGGATTATGGGACAGAGGATGAAAATACGTAGTTGTCCCATACAATACGGGACGTCTGATCACTTTAATAAAAAACAATTCATATCGCTTTTTCATTGATCTAACCCAGTTTTTTCGACCT